CATTGGTATCTGTTGTGATTTCTCCTCTGTCATTCCTAATTTTATTAATTTGCGATTTCTCTCTTCTTTTCTTGGTGAGTCTGGCTAGGGGTTTGTCAATTTTGCTAATTCTTTCGAAGAACCAACTCTTTGTTTCATTGATCCTTTCTATTGTCTTTTTTGTTTCAATATCGTTTATTTCTGCTCTTATTTTTATTATTTCCCTCCTTCTACTGACTCTGGGCTTTGTTTGTTCTTCTTTTTCTAGTTCTGTTAGGTGTCGTTTGAGGTTGCTTATGTGAGCTTTTTCTTGTTTAGTGAGGTGAGCCTGTATTGCGATGAATTTCCCTCTTAGGACTGCTTTTGCTGCATCCCAAATGATTTGGTATGTCGTGTTCTCATTTTCATTAGTCTCCAGATAAAATTTGATTTCTTCTTTAATTTCTTCAATGATCCATTGTTTGTTGAGAAGCGTGTTGTTTAGTCTCCACATTTTTGCACCTTTCTCTGCTTTTTTCTTGTAGTTGATTTCTAGTTTAATAGCATTATGATCAGAAGAGATGCTTGATATTATTTCAACTCTCTTGTATTTATTGATGTTTGCTTTGGTTCCTAAAATATGGTCAATCCTTGAGAATGTTCCATGTGCACTTGAGAAGAATGTGTAACCTGCTGTTTTTGGATGAAGTGTTCTATATATATCTATTAAGTCCATCTGGTCTAATTTTTCATTTAATTCTATTATTTCCTTGTTGATTTTCTGTCTGGATGTTCTGTCCATTGGTGTTAATGGTGTGTTGAGGTCCCCTACTATTATTGTATTGTTGTTGATGTCTTCTTTTAGTTCTATTAAGAGTCGCTTTACAAATTTTGGTGCTCCTGTGTTGGGTGCGTATATATTTATAAGTGTTATGTCTTCTTGGTGGAGAGTCCCTTTTATCATTATATACTGTCCCTCTTTATCTTTCTTTATCTGTTTTGCTTTGAAATCTACCTTGTCTGATATTAGTATAGCGACACCTGCTTTCTTTTGTTCCTTATTAGCTTGGAGTATTGTTCTCCATCCCTTCACTCTGAGTCTGTGTTTGTCTTTGGGGCTGAGGTGTGTTTCCTGGAGGCAGCATATTGTTGGATCTTGTTCTTTGATCCATCCTGCCACTCTGTGTCTTTTGATTGGGGAGTTCAATCCATTTACATTTAGAGTGATTATTGAGATGTGGGGGCCTACCACTACCATTTTGTGTCTTGTTTTCCGGTTTTCTTCAATTTCCTTTGTTTCTCGTCCCATGGTTTAATCTGTTCTGATGTAGAGCTGCTACTCTCTGTTGTTGTCCTTCTACTTATCTCCTCTGCTCTTGGTTTTGTAGCCCCTTTCCTTTTTTGGATTTTTCAGAAATGAGGGTTTTTCTGAGGATTTCCTGTAGAGGAGGTTTTGTGGCAATGAACTCCCTTAATTTTTGTTTATCTTGGAAAGTTTTTATTTCTCCATCGTATCTGAAGGATATTTTCGCTGGGTAGAGAATTCTCGGCTGTAGATTTTTGTCCTTCAGATTTTTGAATATATCATTCCATTCTCTTCTAGCCTGTAAAGTTTCTGCTGAGAAATCTGCTGATAGCCTGATGGGGGTTCCTTTGTAGGTTAGTTTCTTTTGCCTGGCTGTCCTTAGTATTTTCTCCCTGTCGTTGACTTTTGCTAGCTTCACTACTATATGCCGTGGAGTTGGTCTTCTTGCACTGATAAAGTTTGGAGATCTATTGGCTTCTGTCACCTGAAGGTCCATCTCTCTCACCAGATTTGGGAAGTTCTCAGCCATTATTTCTTTGAATAGGCTTTCTGCCCCTTTCTCCTTCTCTTCTCCCTCTGGTATACCTATATTCCTTACGTTGCATCTCCTAATTGTGTCTGATAATTCTCGGAGAGTTTCTTCATTTCTTTTTAGTCTTGCTTCTCTCCCCTCCTCTGCCTGCAGCAATTCTATATTGCCATCTTCCAAATTGCTAATTCTTTCCTCCATATTATCGGCCCTACTGTTCAGAGCATCTAGATTTTTCTTAATCTCCTCTATTGTGTTCTTCATTTCCAATATTTCTGTTTGGTTCTTCTTTATCGTATCAAACTCTTTTGTGACATAGCTCCTGAAGTCGTTGAGTTGTCAGTCAGAATTTTCTCTTAACTCATTGAGTATTTTAATGATGGCTGTTTTGAAGTCATCATCATTTAGGTTATATATCTCATTTTCTTTGGGATTGTTTTCTGTGTATTTGTTACTTTCTTTCTGTTCTGGAGATTTAACGTATTTTTTCATATTGCTTGATGTTGTTGATTTGTGCCTCCGCATGGAGATAGAGTTTAGTTGCTCCTTTCACTTGTTTCAGCTGCTGCGGTGGGGGAGCAGCTGTTTATACTGCACCAACCAGGAACCCTGTCCGCAGTTGCTAACTGGGCCTGGGCCCCTCCTCGTAGCCACAGTGGCCCTTTGGATTCCCTCCTCTGCCGTGGGGGCCGTCACAGGGGGGCTTCAGGCTGCTGGTGCCTACTGTTGTAGCCCACCTAGATGTGCTCCCTCCTTGGGGTCTGCAACGGTGTTATGGGCTTTTCCAGCAGCCAGGGGTGGGATCACTTATATTTCTCGCTCCGTTGCTGTCGGCACCCACAAAATCTCACTTGTCCTCTATGGGTCGCAGGAGAGCTATTGGCATCTTCTACAGTCTGTGGTTAGTTCACCTAGCTATGCTGCTTTTGCCCTGGGGTCTTCCAGCCTTGTGGCTGCCAGCTGGGTGCCTTCTACTGGTGCTGTGCAGAGGCTTTCCCTAAGGCTGCTGTGAGCCTGTAGGGTTTCCCCCTAGGCTACGAAGCTGGGTCTCTGGAAACTCCTCCCAGCCCCAGTCCTCTCCGAGATCTCCGGCTATCCCTAGTCCCACGGGGTGGGCAACGGCAGCTGGGGGTTGCCCCGTCCTCTGGGATTCTCTCCAGGGCTTTCCCGGAGTTGAGTGCTGGGCGTGGCCCCTCTGCTAATGGCAGACAGAGAGTTTTGTCTGCTGCCCGGGCGGAACTCCGGCGCTTCCCCTACGGGTCGCAGAGCCGGCCTTTGAAACTTCCCCCAGCCCCAGTCCTCTCCGAGATCTCCGGCAATCCCTACTCCCACGGGGCGGGCAACGGCAGCTGGGAGACCTCCATACCCTCAGCGACTCTCTCTGGGACCCTCCGGGTGCCGCGAACACCAGGCGGGGTCTCCCCGCCAATGGTGGGGAGACACTCTCCCCGCGGGCTCAGGTGTGCAACTCCAAAGTTTCCCTCTGCGTTTAGGAGTAATTGCGGGGGGTTTAGGTAGGGTTCTGGTCACCTGTTTCCACCGTCGCTCCTCTGTTGTGTGCTCGCTCCTGCCCTAGATGTGTGTAGATCCTCTGGGGGCGTCCGTTGGAAGAAAGCTGCTTGCGGGTACTAGGCTGCTCAGTCGGGGTCGGAGAGTTTTCACCTATTTCCACATCCTCCCAGAGGAAAGTCCGTCCGCCTTCCGATGTATAGTCGCGTGGGTATCTCAGACGTCCTGAGATACTGTCTGGATATCCTTTGTCAAGCGATAAGTGTCCAAATAATTGTAGACTCGAAGGGGGAGAGACAAAGAGGACTACTCATGGCGCCATCTTGGATCTTCTCCAATGTCAGTCTTCTTTTTGTAAAGAGTCCTCTCCCACTGACCTGTCTTCACTGGACACTAGCAGGGGCTCAGATTCACTGTTACCACTGGGAATCCTTCCGGGTCCTCGTCAGGCGGGGCGGCAAGGAGTACTACGCTCTCCACATGGCAGGAGAGGAAAATGAAGGTGCAGATCAGCCTAGGGACACGGAAAGTTCTGCCCTGCACCTCACGCTTTCCTCAGTCCTTCCGCCCCCTCTCCTCCTGGTCTGACTTCCCTCTCGCCTTCGCTTCCCTTCCCGAAGGCCCCATGTCAACTACAAACAAGTCGCGCCATCAAACTCTATATAAATATATATTTTAAAGCATATATTTTATATAAAAAATATATATTATTATATACTATTTTATATTATATTATAATATATAATATGATATATAATAATAAATAATATATAATTAGTAAGAAAATATATATTTATACATACACACACATAAATACACACACACACACACACACACAGTGTCAATGTTAAATAAAAAGCAGTTATAATGTATGGCCTGCTGTGCACTCTCAGTTTCCTACAAAACGACAGCTATAATGGAATTTATCTACAGGATTATCATGGAAACTAAATAATGGATATAAAGTGTTCTACATAGTGCCTATAAGTTAGCAAACTCCTAAGTATTCATAAAATGTCTACCACTATTGCCTCTTGGAGCAACCTTAAGGGAGACATTGAAGTGTACCAAGCAAAGAAAGACATTCCAGAAAATGAGAATGCTGTAGTCAAAGCTATGGTAGTAGGAGAGTATGGTGTATGGGACAAACTCAATGGCTGGACTGGAGAGGACCAGAGTAGAGGCAGGGAAATTATTTAAAGAACTGACACAATTGATGAGGAGCGCCTGGACTACAAGAGTGGCAAAGGAAAAGAGGGGATAGATAAAACAGATATCTAGGACAGAGAATTGACAAGAACTGGTGAATACTTAGGCAGGAGATGAAGGTGAAGAAAGTGATGGATATCTTAGGTTTCTGATGTGATTTACATGTTGGTGACACTAAACCACAGAGCCACAAACATATTTTAGAGGAAGAAGCAGAAGCATTTGGTTTTAACATATTTAAATTAATGTAAAGCATCTAGGTAAAGGTCATCTACAATATATTAGACACATACAGAGAATTCAGAAGTCAACCTTCTTTTTAGAATATCTGATAATATTTATACAATTAGATTCTTATAGAATCATACTGGCAACAACAAAGCGATATTAATCAAGAGTTACACATAATAGAGTTTCATGAATAATCCAGAAAGTATAGGGTAATTCAAACCAGAATTAAATAAACTAACAACAAACTTCCAGCACTACCTCAGCTGCTTTGCCGTTGTAAAGGCGAAAATGATTACAGGCCTTAAGATTGAGCGCGATGGTACTGTCAGGAATTTGCTGAAGGTAAACAGCCAGGACTTCTTGAGACACATCGTAGTAATCCAACTTGTAGTAACACAGGGCCACATACACATTGAGGGCAAGGTATTCCCTATTAGATGAAAGAATTAAGGGTTAACAGCTTAGGTCTACTTCATAGAAACGTTCTCAAACTACAAAGACTTTTTTAATGGCTCCATGGACAGCAAGGGAAAGAGGACAAGAATTCGCCTTCTGAAGAAAGAAGGCAAGATATAATCAGTACAATATTTTTCTTTTTGTATTGTAATATTTGGGTGTTTTGATATAAGTAGAGTAAAAGACGACAACTAGGGGAGAAATGGAAAAGTTCAACTCCTACCTATTTGTGTTAAAAAAAAATGAAACTAACATATGCTGTAATTGAGCATAAATGCAAATAAGCACACACCATATAGAGGACAGACAGACAAGGCAAGTAGACTTAATGACTGAGAATGGGAATGGGTGGGAGACAGTGATGGTAAAGCAAAAGAGGGATCAGGGGAGGTGGATGAGATATTTTGGGGTGTAGGAGAGAGGCAAAGTAGTGATAGTTGGAATGTTAATTCTTTAGAAAGGTTTGTTTCTAATTTTGTCAGCAAATTACCTACAATGTTACTACAACACTAAAACTGATACACCTGGACCACACATTTTCAACAGGGCAATATCAACTCCAAAGGGGCAGAAATTGGTTCTTATGGGCAGGTGGAAAATTGTACTCATTTTATGTATAAAGCACAGATATACATACAGTACATAAATGGATATACAATATATCTGTGCTATTAAAGTTTCAAAAGAGGGTGATTGGGGGGAAAAAGTCTAAAAAAGCTCCTTGGAAGGGTGATGATAAAATAAAGATGGAGAAACTCTGATGTAGACAAGAAGGAGATCTTAATCTCACCAGATTATTGGCTAAACAAAGTTGAACACATAGTGATACTAGACTGAAAGTACACTAGGTCCTCAGCCAAACTAGTTAAGAAGAAATGAACAAAATGAGATTTCAGGTAAGCACAAAAGAACACAGACCTGTTATCTAGCAGTATTCGCTTATAAATATCAATAGCTTCTTGGTAGTGAGATCGCATATAGTGGATTGAGGCCAAACTGAGCTGATCTTCTGTGATATCCTGAAGATTTTGATGAAAGTTCATCAATTTCTTCTCATCATTAAACTAAAATTGTGAGAGACAGAAAGGCATGTAGAGATTCACGTTAGAGTACAGTTAGAGAAATCAACACCTATGGTGTGGAGATTTTAACTCCTCCCTCAGCCATCTCATCTCTATGGTCTTCCCCTCCATTCCTTGTCGTCTTCTCCTTTGTCTCTCCTTCAGAGAAAGAACGAAAGCCTCAGCAAAGCCTTGACAATGGAAAGTCTATAAGTTACAGCTAATATTCATTACTTGATGGCCCCCCCCTCTTACTTTCTTTTTCTTTTCTATTTCTTTATATTTTCTCCCTTTCCTTTTTTTCTATGTCTCTTTATCTTTTTTATATGCTGTTTATAAGAGAGATATTTAAAATGGAAGGACACAGAAAGGCAGAAAGTAAAAGGATGTAAAGAGATATAACAGGCAAACACTGACCAAAAGAGAGCTGAGGCAGCTCTTCAACTATGACAAAGCAGACTTTCTGTGAAGAGGGATTTTTAGAGTTAAGGAAAGACATTTCACAATGATAAATGTTTCAATCCACCAGGTGGACATAATTCTAAATTTCCATGCCCTTGATAGAGTCTGAAAAACATGTAAAGCAAAAACTGAAACAACTAAACAGAGAGACAGATAAATACAGTGTGAAATTTTTTTTTAAGATTTTTACATTTTTTTTCCTTTTTCTTCCCCAAAGCCCCCTGGTACATAGTTGTATATTTTTAGTTGTGGGTCCTTCTAGTTGTGGCATGTGGGATGCTGCTTCAGCATGGCTTGATAAGCAGTGCCATGTCCACGCCCAGGATTCAAACTGGCGAAACCCTGGGCCACCGAAGCGGAGCGTACGAACTTAACCACTCAGCCACAGCACCCGCCCCCTTTTTTTTTTTTTTAAGATTTTTTAAATTTTCAGTGTGAAATTTTTAAATGCACCAAAAATAATTATTTTCATATACTGCCTGTGGACAATTAGATAAACTTTCTGTAAAATAACTTAGCAATACCAATTAAAAACTTCATAGTTGTTCATACCCAATAATTCAGTAAGTCCATTTCTAGGATATTCAGAAATGTATTTTTATAATTAAAATTAAAAACAATCTAAAAGTCAAATAAATAGGAAATGTTACACAAATTACGGTACATGCATACAATGGAATGTTATAAAAACCATTTTAAAAAATTATGGTTTTAGGGGCCGGCCCCATGGCCAAGTGCTTGGGCTCGGCATGCTCTGCTGTGGTGGCCTGGGTTCATGGGTTCAGATCCCAGGCACAGACCTACACTACTCATCAGCCATGCTGTGGCAGCAATCTATATATAAAATAGAGGAAGAGTGGCGCAGATATTAGCTCAGGGTGAATCTTCCTCAGCCAAAAAAAAAAATAAAAATGATTTTGAAGACTATTTAGTGACTCAAGGATATGCTCATAGTATAAAGGTAAGTAAAAACAAAAACCAGGAGCCAGCCCCATGGCTGAGTGGTTAAGTTCTTGTGCTCTGCTGTGGCGGACCACGGTTTTGCCGGTTCGGATCCTGGGTGCAGACATGGCACCACTCATCAAGGCCACGTTGAGGCAGCATCCCACATGCCACAACTAGAAGGACCTGCAACTAAGATATGCAACTATGTACCGGGTTGGGGGGGGTCGGATTTGGGGAGATAAAGCAGAAAAAAAAAAAAGATTGGCAACAGTTGTTAGCTCAGGTGCCAATTTAAAAAAAAAAAGCAGAATACAAAAACATATATTCAGCGTGAGTCCTATTCTGCAAAATAAAATAAACAAAAATAAAAATATGCATATAAAAAATTATTATCCTAAAAGGAGATATAATATACCAAAAGGTTGAAATGTAGTTATCTTTAAATATGGTATATGTTATTTCCTTTTTTTCTTATTTCTATTTTGTTTAATAGAATTAATGTGTAACTTTTATAACACAAAAAATTATTTTAAAAAATCATTTTATGATGATGATCAAAATTATTACTATAAGGCAATTCTGAAAAGTGTTGACTTACTTCTAGGCATCAGGGCAAGGTGTTTTTGATTCTGTTTTCTAAGAGACAATAGGATAGTTGAAACAAACTAATCTTCTTAAATGACTACTGCTTAAGAAAAACTAAAATTTAATATCTCTGAATAAATTAATAGGGTAAAAAACTTTGATGGAGGAGAAAAACCCTATAAAGTTAACAGTTATATTCTACTGGTTCTGGAAATATCATTAACAAGAATTTCTAGTTAATTACCTTTCACCATTGTTGGTAAAAAGAAGGAAGAAAGAGAAAAATATTTTACAAGCACAAAGTGTGAAATGAGAACATAAATACCTTGTGAGCCAAGTGGAAGAGGAGGCGGTTTTGAAGTCGGCTTTTTGGAGCTGAAAAAAAAATCCAAGCTGCTTATTAAAGAACCCAATTGTCTACGGCACTTAGTCCCTTGTAGGAATGACATGAGGCTCAGATAAATCTTCCCAAATCCTTACCCATCTGACCCTCATATGTCTCTGCTAGAACGTATATAATTTTAGTCTAATTTCCATCTGCAGTAGCATCAAGAATCAGAAGAAAAACGTTCTAAGGCTCTGCTCTTCTCCACCACTTCTCTGTCTGGTTCCATTATGGTGACCCACAGCACAGCGCTCCACACACACAGTTCTAGCAGCAGCCCATCGCTGTGCTGTTCACATACTGAACCAAACACTGGAAATAAATGGTTATGGTCAACTCAATACATCTGGAAATCCACTCTCATTCAGCTGTTCTTTGCAGTATTCTCTGTCAATTCCTTCTGAAATCTCCTTTCCCACACACTGCCATATTTTCTTACACACTAGCCCAGCCTCTATTCCATAGGTCTTCTAGCATGATCATCTGCCACGCTGAAACAGATAGCCACGCAAAAAGGTTAAGTTCCAAATTCCCTTTGCACTCTTGGAGAATCTTCCTAATTCGGGACACCCATCCTATATCCCTTTACAGTAAAAAGTCATACTTCAGTGTACAAAAAAGAAAAAATATATACGGAAAGAGAGACAGCTACCATGATCACTTTCTATGTGTCTAACACTGTTCTTGGCACACACAAAATCTAGAAACATGAGATAAAGTAAGTAACTTAAAGGCTCTAATAACTAACTTAGGAAAAACTACATTAATACATATGAAACAATTTGGGTATGAATCAAGAAAGGCTTCAAGTTCCACATTTTCCAGGAATTTGAGTTGGAATTTTTTCTAAATATGTATATATCAGTTAATTCTCTAAGAATTCTAACCTATTGTAACCTGGAATACATTCTTCCCTAACAAATCTCCTAACAAATATTCTCTTGCTCACTTTCTCTGCATTTCTTTGAATTTAAGTTGATTCACAGTCTAATTATTCTTCATCTTTCCTCCCATGTTTCCCTTTTGCTATACTCTTATTTGCAAATTTGAGTCCAGTTTCCTAAGATGACTGCCATGACAAAGCAAAAGGGAAGAAGTCTGGATTGTTCAAGCTGAAATTGCTTGGCTCCTCACTCCAAAGCAGGAAAAGCAGCTATAAAATCCACATCCCTAAGAGTTTGAACAACTATACCCAACTCCTACCAACAGCATGAACATCCTACCACGTGGGGCCTAAGAAAGACACCTCTCCCTTTTTCTTCTTTCATCCTTCTGCTTTCTGGCTGTAGCTTCTGGGGAGACGGGGTGGGGAGGGCAAGCAGCACAGAGATTAACTCTCTTTACATGTACAGTTGCTCAGATCCAATATTTTTTGAAGAGTAAAGCTATTTTTAAACTTTCTAATGTCACTTGGTTTTTCCTCAATAGAAAAAGGAATTAAGTTTTAAAATCTCAAAAATGACTCTTACTATATTAGTGATGAATACCAGATATTAAAAGGCCCATTTTACCTTTAAATCCAGCTGCTTCAGCTTGTTTATACATTCCGAGAAAGAAGTAGGTACAGGCTAGGTTCACCCAGACTTCAGGATTGCAGTTTTCCTCTTTTGTTGCATTTTCATATTCCTGAAATACATATTAAGTAGCCATCTCATTTCAGCAGTAAAGCCATCCATGGGTCATTCTTCTACAACGGAATAGGATTTCTTACTGAGACTGTGCACATTTAAGGAATCCTACCTGCTCCTCAACTATCCTCTACCTGTAAGGTTAAATACTGAGCTGAAGCTCAATCCTAACTACACAGGACTGTTGGTCACATAATCTTATGCTTGTTCTTTCCCCTTTTAACATTGATATAGGCTAACAAACTGCAGAAATGAAAAGTGACTAACATATTTTATTTTTGCTAACTTAAAAAGACATACAAAAGGGGCCAGGCCAGTGGCACAGCAGTTAAGTTTGCACACTCCGCTTCAGTGGCCTGTGGTTCACCAGTTGAGATCTGGGTGGGGACCCTCACATCGCTTATCAAGCCACGCTGTGACAGGTGTCCCAGGTACAAAGTAGAGGAAGATGGGCACAGATGTTAGCTCAGGGCCAATCTTCCTCAGCAAAAAGAGGAGGATTGGCAGTGACTGTTAGATCAGGGCTAATCTTCCTCAAAAAAAAAAAAAGGAGACATACAAAAGATACCTTATAAAAAACACATAGGTTCAGTTAACTTAAAATCTGATGACCTTAATACACTACAAATTTCACTTCATTCTAATTGTTTTCTGGCTTTGTTTATGTGGCTTTACATTTTAAAAAGATATTTTTTTCCTTCCAAGAACAGTTTTTGAGATTCACTCTGTCAACTACATTTTCCATATACTTTTACTATTTATCAGTCTTTCCCCGATGGCTTTGTTTCTTTTTCTGACTACATTTGGGTTATTGTCTTTTCTCCTACATCTTTCACAAATACTACCAGCCTCTGTTCTTTCCTTTTCACATTTCCCTTTTCCTTCACCGATTTCGTTGCTTTGTTCTTCATCTCACCTCCCCGTGACCTGATCTTGGATACTTTCATTTCAGCTATGCGGGTTCTTTAAATATCCTTAGATTACATTTTGGGAGTAAGACTATCTTGGAAATGTTTAAACAATTTCATCTCCAAATTAAAAACTGCTTGACATAAGGCATCTATAATTTTATCTAGGTCCATAATCCTAAAGACTGTTCATCGTTAGATAGGGTTTACAACGACCAACGACGACAACTTTCAAAACAATACTTGCAAAAATATAAAGATAATATACTCTGTCCTATGTCTAAAATTAACAAATCCAAATAAAAATTAACTTCTTTTAAGAAAAGAATCATGAACATTCTTTATCAAAAGGGCTTATTTTTCTTCTTCTGAAGATTTCTTTAAGAAATACAAATGTTAATATGTTGAACAATCTCATTAGTATATATCTAAAAGTAAAAAGTAAACAGGACATATATACATACACTTGAACATAGATAAAAGATTTCTGAAGCCATACATCAAAAATGAGCCAATGGTTGCCTCCATTAACAAAAAAATAGGATTGGGGAAGGCAGACAGGATGGCTTTTTTTATTTTTACTTTGTTCCCTTCCATATTGTTTGAATTTTATCATGAGTGTATATTATTATAATACAAAGCTTAATGACATTTTCAAAACCCTTCCGTTATAATTTTTTTTTTTTACTAACCTCTAAAGCTCTCTTGTAGTCACCCAGGTGAAAGGCACAGTATCCAATCCACAAATTAGTATCCTCTTCCTGTTCCCCAACATGACGTTTGAACTTCAGGTTAAAATTTCATGAAAAAAAAATGATGAAAAACTTTGAATAGTAAACCCTCTGTTTAAAAACTGCTATGTTAAGTTACTGATGAACAACAGGAAATCACAAGTAATTGAAACAAGACAATACCCAATTTAATTAAACCTATACCTACAGAACTTAGCACAATCACCTTCTGATTGTCATAGAAACTTATATTTCAAATATTTCACATTTGCTTTTCTGTATTTACTGACACCTTACTCCAGAAAGTATTTAAGAGATATTCTCATAACAATTCTGGGGGATATGTAAGGAACGTAAGAACTATGTGAATTATTTAATGCCAAATAACTGAAGGTTAGCGAGATTAAGCAATGAACTCAAGGCCACACAGCCAGTAAGTGTGGTGGCAGGGACCACCAGAGCCCACTGACTCCGAAGCCCATGTTCTCCCACTCCATGCTCTGCTGCATTCAACCCCACACTTCAAACCTGTCCCATTAGCACACACGTACATTTATTCATAGGTCATGACCTTTCACTGAGGACAAGCCACTACAGCATTCTACTACCCCGGAACAGGCTTACCAGGGCTCATAAGAACTACGGGTGTTCAGAAGACTGGCCTCATTTATGTTCATTGTGAAAAAATTTTTATGAATTCCTCAGCTAACAGAAGAAAAGTCCTGTTTTGGAGGAAAGGACCGAGACCTTGAAGGAGGAGTCTGAACCACCATGTAAGGTGAGATTTTTTTCACTCTACAGGGTGATAAATCAAAAACATGGGTGCAAAATTAAATAGTGAGCCAACACATATTTACAGAGCATTGCTACAGAACTTCGGGTTCCTTGACCATTACAAGATGAAGACATCGTGGATACTTTCCTGTCTGGGCTAAGACCTTACGCTTGTAGCTAACTCCATAACATTAGAAAGCCTCCTCTCACCAATGCTGTGAATTTGAGTCCAGTACCTTAAGTGTGAAGAAATTCTTCTTTGAGGTCTCCCTGAATTTGCCCCAGGAATTCCCTGGAGCCACAGGAGAACTAAGGAGACTTCTTCACCCCAAACCACGGCAGTTCTCATTCCCAGACTGCATGGCCCTTTGACCCTAAGAATGTAAGCACAGAGCAGAGCCTCCCTGACAATTAAAGGCAGTGTGGGATTACACAAGAAATGTGTGGTCTTTGCCTTAAAGAAAATAGAGAAGAAAAAGAGAGACTGAAAAAAATTAGACAAATCCCTACCACTCAGTCCACTGATTGACAGAGCTAGAAGGTCCTTCCAAGCCAACTTCCTCACTTCCAAGATGAGAAAGCTGACATCAGAAAGTCACACAAGGTGCTCAAAACCAGAGCACTAGGAGGAAACAGAGGACTATACATGGAAGACTGAGAAAGATACATAAGCTAACTAAAATAATTATCGTTGATAGAGAAGAGTGGCATGGCTGCAGCAGTGCTTTGGAGAAATGACTGCGGCACAACACAACCAGGTTGTGCTGTCAAAACTCTTCATCTCTTTGATCTTCGGTGCACTCCTTCATTCTCCCATAACCTGTGCGTCCCACAAAGCAGTGTCTCAAAGTGCAGCGTCCTTGGACCATCTACTTTAGAAGCACTTAGGCTAGTTGCCAAAAAAGCAGGTTCCTGAACACCACCAAAGACGGATTCTGTAGAGAATCAGAATCCCTAAGGCGGGGCCGGCCCCGTGGCCGAGTGGTTAACTTGGTGCACTCCACTTCGGCAGCCCAGGGTTTCACTGGCTAGGATCCGGGCGCAGACATGGCACCACTCATCAAGTCACGCTGAGGCATCATCCCACATGCCACAACTAGAAGAACCCACAACTAAAAATATACAACTGTATACCGGGGAGCTTTGGGGAGAAAAAGGAAAAATAAAATCTTAAAAAAAAAAAAAGAATCCCTAAGGCAAGGGTTCATGAATACATATCTTAATAAGTACCCTAGGTGATTCTGAGGCATATTGAAAGGTGAGACCTGCTGCCACAGATTTGAAATATGTTCTAAAGCTATAAGATTTTAGACAATGAGCATGAAGCATGGTTGAATTATTTAAATTTGGTAAAAATGTTATAATATATAATAGAAATAAATCATAAATTGGTCAGGGGTTGGGAAGAACAGTGTGTGAACCGACACTGTATTAAATGTGCCTCTCTATTTTTCAGTTGGATTCACCATCGGTGGGACCAGACATAATTAAAAGTGTCCCTCAAAAGAAAAAGTCAAAAGGAAATGCTAGAAATGAAAAAACTCTGTAACAGAAATGAAGAAAGCCTTTGATGGGCTCATCTGTAGACTGGACTCAACCAAGGAAAGAATCAGTGAGCTTGAAGATATGTCAATAGAAACTTCCCAAACTGAAATGCAAAGAGGAAAAAGAAGACAGAATAGAATATCCAAGAACTGTGGACAATAACAAAAGATATAACATACATGTAATGGAAATAGCAGAAGAAGAAGAGAGAGAGAAAGGGACAGAAGAAATATTTGAAGTAATAATAGCTGAGAATTTTCTAAAATTAATAAGATACATCAAACCACAGATCCAGGAAGATCAGAGGGGCACCAAGCAGGATAAATACCAAAAAAAAAAAAAAAACTATACCTAGGTATATGATTTTCAAACTGCGGAAAACCAAAGACAAAGAGAAAATCTTGAAAGAAGCGGGGGGAAAAACATCTCACCTATAGGAAAACAAGGGTAAGAATTAAATCAAACTTTTTTTCAGAAACCATGCAAACAAGAAGAAAAAGAAGTGAAGCATTTAAAGTGTTAAAAGAAAAAAACCCATCAACTAGAATTCTGTATCTAGTGAAATTATCCTTCAAAAGTGAGGAAAAATAAAGACTTTCTCAGACAAAAAAGAAAAAGCGTCCCTCAAGAAATAAATCTCTTTTTAGTTCATCTTTAATCAGGTTTACAGTTAACTTGGAACTGGAATCTGTGCCTGACTAGATTGAAAGGAAGCCCCAGAATGTGCGCACCTGTTCCAACAGCACAGCACCCAGCATTCACCCAAGCATTCGTCTGCGTTCTGGTATTCACCTCCCAAGAAGCAACCTTCTTTGGACATTACCTCCAATAGAGTAATAGCTCCAGTGAAATCTCGTTGCGAAAGCAGCTCCTCTAGCTTTGGAATCTTCCTACCTTTCTTCTTTCTTTTGTCCGCTTGCGGTAGGTCCCCGCCTACAGCAGGTTTGGCCCTTGAAAGCATCTGTGAAAGAAACAACAAAGATCCAACTCCTACGGTCAGTTTTAAACTGAGTGTGACAGCTCCAGCATTTACAAGTCAAATCCTTAAAAACGAATCCCAGGGAAGCCTATTCAAACTCCTTCTGTAACACGTATTTTACTAAAGGGGTCAAGGCCCTGGACTTGAGCTGAACCAAGCAGCTACTCCCAACTTCTGTATCTTCTCCAACTAGAGCGAGATAAGAGACGCCTTCGCGCAGCTTCTGTCATCTCAGCCTTCCCTTGGTCCGCTTTCCAGCTCACGCGTAGCTCAGGTGTAGGGAAATGCAGAAGCAGGAGGAAAGAAAGCATCAAAGTCTTTAGTGGTACCCCTGTTCCCCGTGGGAACACGGGGAGGACGAGATCATCCTCTGCTGACACTCTTACACTTAGCCCAGAAGTGCGCTGGGAACCGCCAATCTCCAGTCCCAGGACCTACTCAGAGTTCTCCCTCACTGTTCAGCGCCACTAACCATCTTTTCGTCGGTCCTGTGAGCCCTCTCCGCAGACAGACCCCAAAGGCCGGGCCTCAGAGCGTCTCCGCATCCACACAGCTCGCTCTGTCTCCACGGCAACCCCGCGGGCGGGCTGGTCCGTCCCAGATTAGCGCTCTCAGAAGAACCGGTGCCCTCCGCTTCGTGGTTCCGTTCCGCTTCCTCCTCTCCTAGGAAGAGAGCGTCGTTCCTTTGCTAGGAGTGAGAGTTTGTTTCTCTGTTTATGTGTTTACTTCAGGAAAAAGCGAATTCGAATGGCCTTGCTTTTCGAATACATGTTCCGTGGGAAAGTCATTTTCAAGGACCACTTCCGATTTGGACCGCGTTGGGCTCCATAGCAACCCCCGGCGCTGACTGGCGCGTGATGTCGGCCTCCGGTGGCTGTGGGAAGCTTAGGAAGAAATTTCTCCTGAACCGAGGAAGCTGGCCTATGGAAGCGGGAGTTCACCAAAATACGTTTATTTCCGTTGACACACACAATATGGAACTGTCATAAATATGTGTTGTTTGGAGGACTTAATTTATCTTACTTGCGAACCCAGTTAACACGGCTGCAAAGGTGATCTAGTCACCGAATCATGGAATGTTAGAGAGCTGAAAGGGACGTCGAAGGACTTCGAGGCCAATCCTGAGAATTAACAGAACTAACATCTGGAGAAGTGAAGTAATTCTTCCAAGTGTATAGGCAGTTGTGGCACGGTTGAATTACATTACACACCACCCCGAATAACTAGCTTTATAGAGACTCAAGTGTACCATAAGCTCATAGAACGAAGGTATGACTTCCTAGATTCTTTCGCAGCCTCGTGGCGCTTCAGCCCCTGCCTCCCTCCCCCAGCCCCCACCACTACTTGAAGAGTAAATGAATGACTACGTATCTCAATTCACTGACACATACACTTTTGTATACACGCAAACATTGATATATAGATAGATATAGATATATAGAGATATACAGAGACATGGAGATAGGCATCTGTGTAGACTTCCGAGATGCACAAATTCACCAGCACAATACTTAACAATTCTTTTGGTTCCAAATATCACAAATATTCCTACTTTTGGTTGAATTTAAAACAAAATTATTTTTAGCTCATTTTTACAGAATAGTCTATATAATTTTGGAATCTCTTTGTTGTGATATTATTCAAATACCATAAAACTCACCCTTTTAAGATATACAATTCATCGCTTCTTGGCCTTTTGGCTAAGATCAAGTGTAACGTGTACAATTCAGTGACTTTCAGTATATTCACAGTGTTGTGTATCCATCACCACTATCCAACTCCAGAACACTTTCATCATCCCCAAAAGAAACCCCACATCCATCAACAGTTGTTCATCATTCCCCCCCTGCCCCCAGCCTCTGACAACCACTAATCTATCTTCTGTTTCTATGCATTTGCCTATTCTGGACATTTCCTGTAAGTGAAATCATACAAACAGAGATCTACATACCATATCTAAACACTGAAAATTTTTAAATCAGAGCAAACTGTTAAATAAAATGTTTTATCCTTGTATTCTGACAAATATACAGTCATAAAGAAGGTCAGGCTCTAATTTAGAATTCTCACGCTTCTCAGAATGCTGTTGCTAGAGATGGCAGTGTGGAGAGAGCTAGCCCCAACCCTCAACCCATGCCCTTCTCTTCTCAGCCCAGGCTCCATCTGCACCATGAGGAGCAGTGTGTGTGTGTGTGGACACCTAGCCCATAAGTGCAAGCTGTTGTCACCCACTCTCTCGTGAACTGTCACTCTCTGACACACCTAAAGGGAGAACAGATGCAGGGAAGAGACCTGTGCAGGTGTGGAAACAGGCTTGGGGTTGCGTGGCAGGGAATTCAGAGTCCTGGGCACCATAGCATGGTGAGGATGGCTGCAAGAACCCCTTAGCTCCATGGCTTCTTCACATCTGGTGTAGAGTCAGAGCACTGAGCCCTGGGCAGGGACCCCTCTCTCTAGGGCCTAAGGGCAATATTGCTGATAATGCTGTAAACAGCCTTGTTGATCTTGCTAAATCTATTGAAATGATCTCTGATTTCTAGCAGTTTGGGATACTGCTTTAAACCTCTAAATTCCTGTAGAGGCTGTTTGAACCATAGCTATAATTATGAAGGACAGAACATGGCATTAAGTATACTTGAGAAGAAGCTATTATTCCCAGCTACAGCTCTAAGAATCTAATGTGTTATGAAACACATAACAACAGAGACACACAAAAGCTGGTTGCATGGGTTTAAGAGGGAAAGTTGGAACTTGCAAACTTGTTGCAATTGCAATAGAACAGCAATTTCTGAGAGGTTGTAAAAAATAACTCAGATTGTGATGATAGTTGTGTGACTATGTAAATTTACTTAAAAGCATTGAACTGTACAATTAAAACAAGTTAATTTTATGATATGTAAATTGCATTTTGCTAAATCTGTTTTCTTGTTGTTTTTTGTTTTAAGGTAATCCAGATCTGAGCTCAGAGTGCTGTTCTGGAGTCTCTGTTACTCCAGTCTAGCCCTGTTGCACAGTGGTATTGACACGAAGTCCTTGGAAACCACCAATCATTCTCCAGGGCCATGAGTTGCTGAGGGAATATGAAAGACAGTAAGAAGTTTTGGCATTTCTTGATAGAGTGGATTTTCCTTAAGGAAAAGTTCTCACGAAAAGGAGAACCCTCACCATTTCTGCTACAGAACCACAGTCACTGTATTCATGAATTCTATTGAGTGCTGTTAGTTTTTTCTTCTTTTGTTCACTAGTTTCACAAATATTCCACTTACCATTGAAAAGGATGTTTTAAAAGACAAATTTTAGGGAGGGACATCAGCATCATGGCAGAGTAAGCTCTTCCCTTAGACTATCCCCCCTAAGATACAATGAAAAGGACACTCATAAACCAGCAGAGGACATTGACACAACACAATAGATGTCTGAGAGATCCGTGCAGCCCTACCTCTGAAGGTGGAGGTGCTGGGCCCTCAGGGAGGCAGTGGAAGGAGGTAAGGAGATCTCCCCTCCCTCCCCAGATGGCAGAGATCTAGGGCACAGGACCACATGCATCTATGCGGGGTCGGGGAGGAGAGCTGCCCTCCACAGAAATTTCTTCACTCTCAGAATTGCCTCCCAGCCTGTGGGAAAGCTCTACACCGAGGAGGAAAAGCAATCGTGAGGGTGTCTTCATCAACCCAAGCACCCCAGGAGGGCAGAGAGTGAGTGCAGAGTGGGAGAGCCCTAGGACCGTACATGTGAAACAAAGTACCCCTTCCCCATCCTGGTGCATCAGCTCAGCCAGTCAGCCAGAGCAAGGGACTCTGCCAGAGAGCCTACCCATAGGTTTGTTAAGCAGCAGAGGTGAGCATGCAAACACAGATGGGCCCTGTCAGCATAGCTTCCAAAGGACAGGCACAGATGCCAGAGATCATGGAAGGCCCAGAATACACAGCTCCTACACCCTCACCCCCAGTGGCAGCAGGTAGAATCTGTGACCAGATACTACCACTATGCACAAATACACCCCATCAAATAGTATGAAGCGTTATATTAACACTCCAGACCAGAAGGAGAATGACAAGCACCCAGAAATCAATCCTGAAGGCACAGAAATTTACAATCTAAATGACAGAGGATTCAAAATAGCTATCATAAAAAAACTCAATGCATTACAAGAAAACTCATAAAGACAGTTCAATGAAATCAGGAATAAAATTAATGAACAGAGGGAGTTCTTCACAAAAGAGATTGAAACCATAAAAAAAAAATCAAAGACGTTGGAGATGAAAAACACAATGAATGAGATAAAGAAAAATCTGGAGTCCTTAAATAACAGAGCTGATTTATGGAGGACAGAATTAACAATTTAGAGGACAGAAATGTGGAAATGCTTCAGTGGAGGAGAAGGGAGAACTAAGACTAAAAAGAAATGAAGAAATTCTCTGAGAAATATCTGACTCAATTAGGAAATGCAACATAAAGATGATAGGTATTCCAGGTAGAGAAGAGAGGGAGAAGGGAATAGAGAGATTATTCAAAGAAATAATAGCAGAGAACTTCCCAAACCTGGAGAAGGAGCTGGAATTACAAATAAAAGAAGCCAATAGAACTCATTACTTGATGTAAAAAGACCTTCTCCAATGGATATATTAGTAAAACTGGTAAAAGTCGATGACAAAGAAAAAATATTAAGGGCAGTAAGGCAGAAGAAAATAACCTATAAAGGAACCCCTATCAGGCTTTCAGTAGATTTCTCAGCAGAAACCTCACAGGCTAGGAGAGAGTGGAATGATATATTCCAAATTCTGAAAGACAAAAACTTTCAGCCAAGAATACTCTATCCAGTGAAAATATCCTTCAGATAAGATGGAGAAATAAAAACTTTCCTAGATAAACAAAAGCTGAGGGAGTACATCATCACAAGACGCCCCACCCCCCAAGAAATGATCAAGAAGGCTCTCATACCTGGGGGAAAAAGAGAAGTGTTTACAAAGCCTTGAGTGAGAGATAAATAGGCAAACAAAATCAGAAAATTGCAGCGTTCTATCAGAACAGGTTAGCAAACACTTAATTATAACATTAAAGATGAAAGGGAGGAAAGCATCAAAAATAAATATCATCACTGCAATTTACCCACAAACTCACAACACAAAATGGAATAAGCTGTGACAACAATAAATTAGGGAAGAGGAAAGGGTTGGAACCTGCTTAGACTAAGGAAATAAGAGGCTATTAGAAAAGGGACCGTCTATGAGATCTATACAAACCTCATGATAACTGCTAAACAAAAAATCAGAGCAGAGATACAGGTGATAAATAAAGAGAAAACAAAAAACCATCATAGAGAGCCACTAAACTGAATTGGCAACCAAAATACATGGGACAAGAAACAGGGGAAATACAGAACAATGGGAAAAAAGTGATAAAATGGCAGCATTAAGCCCTCATATATCAATAATCACTCTAAATGTAAATGGATTGAGTTCTCCAAAGAAAAGACACAGAGTGGCTGGGTGGATTAAAAAATAAGACCCAAAAATATGCTGCCCCCAGGAAACACATCTCAGCTCTAAAAACAAACAGAAGCTCAGAGTGAAGGGATGGAAGATGATACTCCAAGCTAGTGGCAAACAAAGACAGCAGATGTTGCCATACTTATATTAGATAAAGTAGACTTCAAGATAAAAGAGGCAATGAGAGACAAAAAGGGGCAGTATATAATGATAAAATAGATACTGCATCAATAGGACATAACACTTACAAAACTATATGCACCTAACACAGGAGCAACAAAGTACACAAAGCAATTATTAACAGACATAAAAGGAGATATTAACAGCAACACAGTAGTAGTAGGGGACCTTAACACCCCTCTTACATCAATGGATAGATCCTCTGGAGAGGAAGTCAATAAGGAAATAATGGAATCAAATGAAATACTAGACTAGATGGACTTAATAGACATATATAGCACACTCCATCCCAAAACAGCAGATGACACATTCTTCTCAAGTGCACATGGAACATTCTTAAGGATAGACCATATGTTGGGAAACAAGGCAAGCCTCAATAAATTTAAGAAGACTGAAATCATATCAAGCATCTTTTCCTATCACAATGCTATGAACCTAGAAATCAACCACGAGAAAAAAAGCTGGGAAAGTGATAAATGTGTAGAGACTAAACAACATGCTACTGAACAACAAATGGGTCACTGAAGAAATTAAAGGAGAAATAAAAAAATCTGAAGACAAATTAAAATGAAAACACACCATACCAACTCACATGGGATGCAGCAAAAGCAGTCCTAACAGGGAAATTCATAGCAATACAGGCCCACCTTAACAAGAAAGAAAAATCTCAAATAAGCAATCTTAAACTCTACCTAACGAAAGTAGAAAAAGAAGAACAAACAAATCCCAAAGTCAGCAGAAGGGGGGAAATAATAAAAACTAGAGCAGAAATAAATGAAATTGAAACACAAAAAACAGTAGAAAGGATCAATGCCACTTAAGAGCTGGTTCTTTGAGAAGATAAACAAAACTGACAAACCCTTAGCCAGACTTACTAAGAAAAAAAGAAAGAAGGCTGAAATAAAGGAAAAGAATGAAAGAGGAGAAATCACAACGATACCATAGAAATATAAAGGATTATAAGAGAATACTATGAAAAACTATATACCAACAAATTGGGCAATCTAGAAGAAATGGATAAATTCTTAGACTCATACAACCTCCCAAAAGTGAATCAAGAAGAACAAGAGAATCTGAATAAACTAATCACAAGTAAAGACATTGAAACAGGATCAAAAACCTCCCAAAAAACTATAACTCCAGGACCAGACAGTTTCTCTGGAGAATTCTGTCAAACATGCAAGCAAGATCTAATACCTATCCTTCTCAAACTATTCCAAAAAATTAAAGAAGATGGAACACTTACTGACACATTTTACGAGTCCAACATTACCCTGATCCCAGAGGCAGAAAAGGACAATACAAAGAAGGAAAATTACAGGCCAATATTACTGATGAACACAGATGCAGATATCCTCAAAACAATATTGGCAACCCAAATACAGGAATACATTAAAGGATCATACACCATGATCAAGTGGGATTTATACCAGGGATGGTTCAACATCTGCAAATCAATTGCTGTGATACACCACATTAACAAAATGAGGAACAAAAGCCACATGATCATCTCAATAGATGCAGAGAAAGTATTTAACAAGATCCAACATCCATTTATGATTAAAACTCTCAATAAAATGGATATAGAAGGAAAGTATCTCAACATAATAAAGGCCATATATGACAAACCCACAGCGAACATCATACTCAATGGGGAAAAACTGAAAGTCATCCCTCTGAAAACAGGAACAAGACAAGGGTGCCCAGTCTCACCACTTTTATTCAACATAGTACTGGAGGCTTTCGCCAGAGCAATTAGGCAAGAGAAAGAAGTAAAATGTACCCAAACTGGAAAGGAAGAATCTACAGATTCAACACAATCCCAGTCAGAATCCCAATGACATTCTTCACAGAAATAGAACAAAGAGTCCTAAAATTCATATGGGGCAAGAAAAGATCCCAAATAGCTAGAGCAATCTTGAGAAAAAAGAACAAAGCTGGAGGCATCACAATCCCTGACTTCAAAATGTACTGTAAAGCTATGGTAATCAAAACAGCATGATACTGGGACAAAAACAGGCACACAGATCAATGGAACAGAACTGAAAGCCCAGAAGTAAAACCACACATTTATGGACAGCTAATCTTCAACAAAGGAGCCAAGAACATACAACGGAGAAAGGAAAGTCTTTTCAATAAATGATGTTGGGGAAACTGGACAGCCACATGCAAAGAATGAAAGTAGAACATTATCTTTCACCATAAACAAAAATTGACTCAATATGGATTAGAGACTCTTTGATGTTAGTGTTAGAATGATCTTTTCGAATACCATATCTACTTGGGCAAGGGAAACAAAAGAAAAAATAAACAAATGGGACTTCATCAGTCTAAAGAGCTTCTGCAAGGCAAAGAAAATCAGGAACAAAATGAAAAGGCAACTCACCAACTGGGAGAAAATATTTGCAAATCATATATCCGACAAGGAGTTAATTTCCAAAATATATAAAGAACTCATATAACTCAACAACAAGAAAACAAACAACCAGATCAAAAAATGGACAAAAGATCTGAATAGACCTCTTCCCAAAGAACATATACAGATGGTGTACACGCACATGAAAAGATGTTCAACATCACTAATCATTAGGAAAATGCAAATCAAAACTACAAGGAGATATCACTTTACACTTGTTAGAATGTCTATAATTACCAAGACAGAAAAAAAACCCCCCAAATGTTGGAGAGGATGTGGAAAAAAGGGAGCCTTCATTCACTGCTGGTGGGAATGCAAACTGGTACAGCCGCTATGGAGAACAGTATGGAGATTTCTCAAAACGTTAAAAATAGAAATACCATACGACCCAGCTATTCCACTACTGGGTATTTATCCAAAGAACTTGAAATCAATAATTCAAAGAAATTTATGCCCTCCTATGTTCACTGCAGCATTATTCACAATAGCCAAAACATGGAAGCAACCCAGGTGCCCAGTGACTGATGAATGTGTAAATAAGATGTGCTATATACATATATACAACGGAATACTACTCCGCCATAAAAAAAGACAAAATCATGCTATTTGCAACATCATGGATGGACCTTGAGGGTATTACGTTAAGCAAAACAAGCCAGACAGAGAAACACAGACACCATATGATTTCACTCATATATGGAAGATAAACAAACACATGGTCAAAGAAAACAGATTAGTGGTTACCAGAGGGGAAGGGGATTGGGAGATGGGCATAAGGTATAAAGGGTCACATATATACGGTGACTGGAAAATAGTAATGTGCAACTGAAATTTCACAATGTTATAAACTTATGACCTCAATAAAACAAAAATAAATTATTTTTAAAAAAAACAAAAAAATTTTATTTCACTCCCTCCTAGTGAGTTATATGGGTTCATGAGAAGAAGACCCTTTTATTTTCTTTGCTGAGGAAGCTTCACCCTGAGCCAATATCTGCTGCCATTCTTCCTTTTTTTGTGTGTCAGCCACTGCCACAACATGGCTACTAACAGGAGAGTGGTGTAGTCTGCACCTGGGAACTGGGCCCAGGCCACTGATGCAGAGCACACCAAACTTTATCACTAGGCCACTGGGGTTGCCCCTGGGAGAGGACCCCTTTTTGAATGTTCTAAGCAAGAGCAAAAATGACTCTGGGATTAAGCACTTGAAAAATACTCCCTAAAGAAATATGTTTTTCTGTTATTTTAAAATAACTTGTTTTTTCTTATTACAAAATTACTCAGTATTCACCATGGAAATTTTGGAAGATACTGAGAATTAAAATGAAGAAAGCGCAAATTATCTATAAATTTATAAGCAAGAAATGACACCAGTTAACATTTTGCTTTTTAAAAAGTGATTTAACCAGTACTGAAAGATAATACGGTAATGGCTGAACTATGAATAGATTGGAGAACTAGATAATAAGAAATCTGTAGATGATAATTGTTGAAGCTGGATGATGATTTTATGCATGTTTATTATACCATTCTATTTTTGTGTAGAAATTTACCATAATCTAAAATAAAAAAGAGACATCTATTTGAAAACTCCCAAATTCTTTTGTATGGCCGTACTTTTAACTGAAATGAATTAAAGACTGGGGAGTCAATATTTATTTCAATATAAAAGGTAATTTGCATTTATACCAGTTAAAACTAAGTGGCTTTGTGTATGTGAGGATACTGAGAAAAGTAACTTATAATCTCTGCTATTGTAATTGTTTATTTGGTGGGAAGATAATTGGAAGATCAGAAAGCAATATAAAGATAATAAAATGTAAACAGGAAAAATACCAGGGGTTGCAACCAGGTCTGAAAGAAGGAAGCCCTGAGAGAAGGAAGTCCCTGTGTCAGCCAGCCACTGAGGTGTGGGGTCCTGGGAAGGTCCATTTCAGTTCATCCCCTAGTGCTGAAGGCAGCCTGCTAGCAAGAGCTAAAGGTGGCATAGGGTTGTGTGCTTCAGAGGCAGCAAGACCTGCATTTGAAACTGCCTCCCTTGCTTCCTACCTGTGTGACCTTGAGCAGGTTAGTTAACCTCTCTGAGTTTTAGTTTTTCCTCTGTAAATAGAGGTAATAAAACCCATCTCACCAATTTGCTTAAGACTCACGCGAGATCATTTACAAGCAACAGGTAGGATAACAGTGATTAAGCATGCAGCCTCAGGAGAGACTGCCTGAGTTCACCTACTTGCTTTAGCTGTGTGACCTGAGCTAGTCACTACACCTCTCTAAGCTTCAGTTTTCTCACCTGTAAAAAGAAAATGATAACGATAGTACTTCGCTCCTAGGTCCACTGGTTGTGAAAGGTGAATGAATTATACAGAGAAAGTATTTAGAATAGTGCTGGGCACACTGTCAGAGTGCTGTGACATGTGCTTCAGTCTTCATATTATTTTTTTAGTGAGATATAATTTGCATGCCACAAAATTCACTATTTTAAAGTGTACAATTTAGTGATTTTTTAAGTATATTCACAAGATTGTGCATCAACATTATGTAATTTTAGAGCATTGTTATCACCCCCAAAAGAAACCTGTCACTCCCTGTTCCCCTTTCCCAAACCCCTGGCAACCATTCGTCTATTTTCTATCTCTATGGATTTGCCTGTTCTGGACATTTCATATAAATGGAATCATGCAGTATCTGACCCTTTATGTTTGGCTTCTTCAACTTAGTATAATGTTTTCAAGGTTCATCTGTGTTAATAGATGTACCAGTACTTCATTCTTTTTGATGGCTGAATAATATTTCATTGTATGGATACGCCACATTTTGTTTAAGTCTTCATATTATTTAAAGCACTTAATACATAGTAAATGCTCAGGGTCTGGTGGTCTTGTTAATGTCCCGCCCAGTGCCTTGGGCTTTAAGGCACAGCCTCAATCCTATTCCATCTCAATTCTAGGTGGAATAGTACTCAAGGAAGAAGCCCAAGCCATGAAAGTCCACCCAGATGCAGCCTGCTGCTGGGCCTCTGCCTGCCACGCCCGTTCCTGCCTTGACCTTCCACACACTGGTCTCCAAGTCTCAAGTTCTCTGTTATGTATCTCTAGCTACACACAACCTGGTAACCTGTTGTAATTCCCACTCCCTCTCATCTACTCTCTTCACCTAATCTGTTCTTTCAGTCCTGTGGACCTGATTACCTACCCAGTTTCCTTAAACAGTCCATATTACGAGCCAGCCCTCATGGCCTGGTGGTTAAAGTTCAGCCCTCTCACCGCCTCCGGCCCAGGTTCATTTCCCCCTTGCAGAACCCCACCACCCATCTGTCAGTTGCCATGCTGTGGTAGTGGCTCACAGAGAAGAACTAGGAGGACTTACAACCAGGATATACAACCATGCACTGGGGCTTTGGGGAGGGAAAAAAACCCAGAAAAACAGTTCATGCTGCTTCATGTTTTGGACCTTTGTTATTTTGTGTGTTTGGCTGTATTGTATTAATTATCCATCCCTGCATAAAAGTTTGCCCCAAAACGTAATAGCTTAGAGCAATCAATATTCTTCTCTCTCATGGTTTCTGCTGAGGAGCTCAGCTGGGTGGTTCTGGCTCAGAGTCTCTGCTAACATTGAAGTCAAGCTGTCAGCTGGGGCTCTACTCACCTGATATCTTGACTGAGGCTGAAGGATCCCATTCCAAGTGGCTCACCCACATGCCTGGCAAGTTAATGTTGGTTGTTGACAGGAACCCTTTGCTCCTTGCCATGTGGATCTCTCCAGAGGGCTGCTTGAGTGTCCACACAACCTAACAATGCGCTTCCCCAGAGTGAATGATGAAAGAGTGAATGAGGAGGAAGTTACAATGTTTTGTATGACTTAGACTTGTAACTCACACTGCGGTTTCTGTAATATCGTATTCATTACACAGACCACGCCTATTCACTATGGGAGGGGACTACACCAGGGTGCAAATATCAGGAGTGGAAACTTGCTGGGGGCCAGCTGACTGCCACATCAGGCCATCGTCACCAAGTCAGCCCCACCTCCGGATTACTACATGCCCATTGCCTCTGCCTTCAGACCAGTGTTACTAGAAGGTTTGCAGCCTGAAGTTGCTCATTTTAACACCACCAAAGCAAAGTCTGTAAATTTATTCTCAAAGAGGGAAATGCCTTTCTCCCTCTAAAGGTAACCCCTCCGCTATACCTACTGCTCCATCCCTCCCCAGTTCAGTTCTTCTGAGGGAGCCTCGCTGCTAAGCAGATTCAATCCAGGGAAAACCCCTCTGCCTGCTCCTCACCTCTGCCCTGCCCTGTCTGTCTCACCGTTTGACTAACACCTCCCTTGACTCCCACATTTCCTGGAGAACACCTGTTTGCCGTGGACTTTGGACATTTCATCTGACTCAACCCTCTGATGTTTATGTACTTTTAATTTCTATGACTTAACATAGCTGACTCATCGCTGCCTTGTGTGTGTTTTGCTTCCTTCTCTGATTGGTGGTTCAACTGATTCACACAGCCTGATATCAGGCGAATGTGTCCTAGCAACTGCAGCTTGGCACGCTCCTCCAATTTATTTATTTATTTATTTATTTATTTGGTGAGGAAGACTGGCTCTGAGCTAACATCCATGCCCATCTTCCTCTACTTTCTATGTGGGACGCCTACCACAGCATGGCTCGCCAAGTGGTGCCATGTCCACACCCGGGATCCAAACCAGTGAACCCTGGGCCACCAAAGCGGAACTTGCGCAATTAACGGCTGTGCCACCAGGCCGGCCCCCAGGAGAATTTCTTGGTGTAGGAGCACTCTCCCAGGATACAAGAGTTAGTATCCTGGCAAGGACCAGGAGATAATGCAAAATTGCTGCCAGGGGCCTCCTAGAAGCCTGGGAAAGTGAGGGCCAATGAAAAGTGAGGTTGAATTGTCTAAATTTCTGGGGTCGACAGTAGAGGAAAGGATTAAAAGACTCAGAAAAGTGGATGAGCTGGAATAGATATATCATGTTAGGCCAGAAGATGCACCAGAGGATTGGGCTCCACAGGATGGCTCAGAGGAATCACATTCATCAAAGCTCTCAGAAACATACTGGTGAGAGGACACCAATGTCACTAAGAAGTTCAGTCATGCTTCCCCTGAAGGACATAACTGATGGAAGGAGGGCCTGTCCTGGAACCTGGCTCGCTAACACCAACAGGGATGATAGGCCCCTGATGCAATAGACACCATGTAATGGCCCTTCACGGCAGAAGCCAGGGGCTCGTAGCAACAAAGGCAGAGTGGCAGCCAGGGGGCCTGACCTGTAGAGAGCTGTAGAGACTGTGAATAGAACAGAGTTTCCCTAGAAGGAAAACAGATGTGTAGCATACAAAATACTGTTTAACATATGCAATCTAAAGAGAACAAGAATTGATAAGCAGGACAATGAGGAGGACAGTTACCCCAATAAAAAGTCACAATTCCTGTCCCGGTTTCCATACTTGAACGAATGTACAGACTCAGAACCAAGTAACTGAAGAGGTGGCCAGGTCCCCAGGGAGAAGAACCTGCAACACAATGGCAAGAATGAGCTATGGTTGTTCCTCCAGTCCTTCCCCAAGGAGATCTACAGCATTTATGGGGATGACAGAACACTGGGCAGGGAGTACCCAGACATTTTGGTGACTGTTGGGCACAAGGTCAGAGGTCGACTGATACTCTGCCAACTGAAGCATCTTCATGACCCCCGTGTTAGAGTGGGAGCAAATAGGTCCATCTTACGACAGGTCCCCTGGGTCCATGAATGCACTGGTTGTCATTCCTCTAGCTCCAAAATGTATAGTTGGCATTGACGTACTTGGAAGTCGGGCTAACCCTCTATTGCATCCTTGTGATCCTTCCGTACTGTGATAGCTCTCACCTGTTAATGTACCCAGCCTTTGTCAGAGCCCCCTCTCCCCTCACTGCTGTATGATGGGTGCCTGAACAAAGAGGCTATGGTGGCAGAGATGGAGGTGATGTACGGACTGTCATTTGCCCAAATGAACACAGTTACTGCCACCTCTGAATGTCCAATCTACCAGCCATAAAGACCAATGCTAAGTTCTATTCTTTAAGGAGACCAATAGGCTACTTGGTGACCAGTTGACTACATTGGGCCCCTTTTGTCCTGGACGGGCCAGCTGTTTGCTCTGACTGGAATAGACAATGATTCTGGGTATGGGGTTGCCTTTCCTGCCTGAAGGACCTCAATAGCACCACTCTCTGGGGGCTTAAAGATCGCCTGATCCACAGACATGGAATCCCACATAACATAGCATCTGACTAGAGGACTCTCTTGATGGCACAGGAAATGGGGGAGTGGTCCATGAACATGGGATCCGCTGGTCATATCACACACCTCACCAACCAGGAGCTATTGGATAGATAAAGTACTGGAATGGCCAGTTAAAGATGCAGCTCAAGCTCCAGCATCAAGGCAGAACACTGCAGTGATGACATCTTCTCCAGGATATCATCGGATATGTGGTCAATCAGACAACTTAATATGGTACTGTGTCCCCAAGAGTAAGAATACATGAGTCCTGAAACAATGGATAGAAGCTTGAGTGGCCCCCATTAGCATCATTCCAATGACCCACTTGGTTCCCTGTCCCCACAACTCTGGGCTCTGCAGAGTTAGAGATCTTAGTCTCCAAAAGGGGCACATTCTCAACTGGAGCACAGCAAAGGTCCCATTGGACAATTTATGGCTGCCACCAGGCACTTTGGCCTCCAAATGGTCAGAGACTAGCAGGTAAAGCAAGGAATCGCTGTGTTATCAGAGGCAAATTGACTTGGTCAGCAGGAGGAGGTAAGGCTGCTGTTAGAGGGGGCAGGGAGGAATATGGATGGACTCTAGTGACCTATTTGGGTGACATTTGGTACTCTTTTGCCCAATTGTGACTGTGATTGGACATGACAAGAGCAGAAAGCCAGGTCTGAGATGGTGCTCAGACCCCTTAGGAATGAGGATTTGGGGTTCTCACTCAGGTAAGCTACTGAGACCAGCTGAGGTGGTGGCTGAGGGGGAGGGGAATTAGAATGGATAGTGGTGGACGGACATGATGAAGGCAAGTTGCAAGCTTGCAACTGATTGCAGTGACAGGGGCTGTGGTCCATCCCATTAACTTCTCTCTTCTAAGTTTTCTTTCAGGAAGAGTGGCCCATCAGAACTCTGAAGGAGCTGTTCCCTGAATACGGATGGAGAAATTGATCCACGTGGCACAAAGGGTGCACAATAGCGGATTCCTCAGGGCACCAATGGGTTACTCAGATCCTCCTTCAAGCCAGGCCTTGCTGCTCATCTGCAAGGAGTATGTTTAGCTGATAGTCTCCAGCTTTAGCTCCTTCAGGATCCGCCCCACGGTTTGAGCTGAAGTCACACATTTCTTCATGGCCGCCACCAATGACCAAGCAAGGCAGGAGTACAAGGGCCTGGGCCTTTCTGCCCAAGGCTAGACTCCTGCTCCCCATCGGGCTGGCAGAGACTTTGTCAAGTCTGCACCACCATCTGACAGCTCACACAGATCAGTCCTGCCTCTTCCGTTGACTTTCTCTGTTTTACGCTCCAGGAAATCTTCTGTACTCTTAATTCCATATCAGTATCTGCTTCTCGGAGAAGCCAACCTGTGACAACACAAATTTTAGTATTTCCCCAAATGTCTGCTTTTCCCTTCCCACAACCCCCTACATGGTTTTACGTGGCCTTGAATTGATGGGATTTTATAACTCTATTCCTAACCACTCTGGCCAAACCATGCTCTTTCTTTTCTAATCTCCTATAAACCCACTGTAATATTCAACCACTGATTCCCTTGTGTTTTAATGTTTTTTCATGTCTTCCCAAACACAAGCTCCTTGAGTACAGGGACTATTTCTTAAACTTCTGCATGTTGGTGTGACTAAGTAAGGGCCACACAGAAGATGCTATGCTGAATTTAATTGATTTGGTAATGAAAGCTCAGTCCCTGGGAACCTGTCAGACCACAAATAAGGCCAAGTGGAGTGAAAGGCAACTGTAGAAGAAATTGCTAAAGGGAACAAGAAGTCAGATGACCCTGTGTGGGCCCCAGGTTTGGCTGGTTTTCATTACTAACGTACTCTATTCCTGAGATACAGTTCATCTCCCACGAATTACCAAACTGAGGAGAATTCCCAGTAATCAGTTTGAAGAATTTCTAGTTTGACAACCAAATTCTACCATTTTAAAAATAGGTTTATTTATTGATTTGTTTAGGTGAGGAAGACTGGTCCTGAGTTAACATCTGTGCCAATCTTCCTCTATTTGCATGTAGGACACCGCCACAGCATGGCTTGATGTAGGCCTGCACCTGGGATCTGAACCCACGAACTCCAGGCAGCCAAAGCAGAGTGTGTGAACTTAACCATTAGGCACCAGACAGCCCAAAAAAGGTTTCTTTCTAATCTGATCAATGACCCACTTTTTTAATCAGGAAACTAGGAGCAACAACTCTCTTCCAACTTCCAATTTTTTCCTCTTCCAACTTGGGTCCAAGGATTGGAGGCCTGCAAATTAACTGAAAATAGACAGATTAACAGGAGAAAAAATAAGATTTATTTACACAATGGGATGAGGGGAGCGCCCAGTAATGGAAAACTCCTGGAATAGCCAGAAGTAACTTTCTATGTCTCAATTTAACAAAAGGAGGGTTCTTTAGGACTTCATCGGGAGAGTATGGAAGGTTCTATTGGGCTTTTTGATGCTAATAGAAATGGGCAGTCTGTCTCCAAGGCAGCTGAATTAGCAGGAAACTCTTGGAAAAGGGTTAATGGTAGTTGTATTTTCAGGATGCTTTGCTTTAGCAGATCAAGAGAAGGTTAGATAAAATTTCTTTCTGCGTCATCTGTAGCTCATAGCTTTTCACTTTAAAACAGTCTTTGTACTAACTCTGGGGGCCGAGTGGATCCCTGCAGAGGGAAAAGGTCTTGTTCAAATATCTAAAGAGAGTAACCTATCTGAAATCTTGGTCTATGTCTAAGCGTGCTCGTCTGTGACTACTTGCTACCCGGGACTAACCGGTGTCCAGGATACCGCTGTTAGCGTTATAGACAGGCAAGAACGTGTCAAGAAGTGGTTTTTCAAAAAGCTTGTGGGAAGGCAAAAAAGAGGGAGAGTAATAATTGCTGTTCTTTAAGAGGGTATGGTGGTGTGGGAGAAAGGGCACGTCGGTCGTGGCCAGATGGACCATGATCTGGGGCCGGGGGCCAGCTTTGGGAATCCTCGGGTAGCGTCCGGGGTCCAGCTTGATGGCTGTGCATGCTTACTCGTTACTTATTCACGTACAGAGTCAAGATAATAATGTCTAACTCGTGGAGTTGCTGTGAAGATTCACTAATATCAAGCGCCCAGCTCGGAGGAAGTGCGCACTCAGGTCTGTCCGTTCCAGGGATGGGTGGGGTGGAGAACTGAGGACTCCTCGAGGGGCTCCCAAGACTCGCGTCATTCGCCACTTTCAGCTGGCTTATAAAAACTCCACCAGCGCCCAGAGATCATTTTTAGTTTCTCTTCTTTCCGAAGAATCCTCACGGTGCTCAGCTGGCGAACCTCGCCCTCGCAGAGCCTGGAACCGAAAGGGAGCTGTCCGGGCGGTCGCGGGCACATTTGCCCGCGCTCGTTCGCGCTCATTGCATTCGGTTGCCGTCGCGATTGGCTTTAAATCTAACACAGGGACCGGGTCGGTGAGATCTGGCCTCCACCCAGAGCCGAGTGTGAAACCGAAAGCGCTGGGCTCTGCTAAAGGCGGTGGAGAGTGCGCGCTGGCTCGCCCCGGGCGCGCCCAGCCGGAGCCCCGCCCGCGCCCGCCTCCCCCCCGGGACTCTTGTAAGTTTCGATTCTCCGCAAAGCAGAGTCCGGTGCCGCCGCCAGCCCAGAGCAGCGCGCCATGGCGGACCCGGAGGTGTGCTGCTTCATCACCAAAATCTTGTGCGCCCACGGGGGCCGCATGTCCCTGGACGAGCTACTCAAGAAGATCGCGCTCCCCGAGGCGCAGCTCTGCGAGGTGCTGGAGGCGGCCGGGCCCGACCGCTTCGTGGTGTTGGAGACCGGCGGCAAGGCCGGGGTCACCCGATCGGTGGTGGCCACCACTCGAGCCCGGGTCTGCCGTCGCAAGTTCTGCCAGAGATCCTGCGAAAACCTGCACCTCTGCAAGCTCAACCTGCTGGACCGGTGCCACTATTCGCAGTCGGAGCGGTGAGTGCGCAGAGATGGAGGGGCGGCTCCCTGGGGTCTCGGTCTGGGAGGACTGTCGCGGCGGCTGCTCCGCGAGGGGCGCGCCTTCGCGGGGACCTCGCACCCGACAGCCTCTGCCTCCAGCTCCTCATTTCTCTGCTCTCCTTGGAGAGCCCCTGCTAGACCCGCGCTTCTCTTCTTGGCGGTTCCCTTCCCTCCAACGCCTCCAGACCTTTCCTCGATTATGGCTAACGCGACATTGCCCCGGTGAAGTCTCTGCTTAACTCTCCACCCCAATGAGAATAAAATTCTTTGGGGCAAGCCAGGGCCTAGAGAATTTGGAGGCAGGTTTGGGAACGAAGGAATACGCCTCGACTCTCTGGAATCTTGAGTCTTTCCCTCTGTCACCTTCGTCCCCAGGCGTTTTGCGATCTTCCCAGCACCCCAGCCGAGCTCAGCACCTGGATCAGTCTCCACCGCCTGGAGCCAGGGATCTCTGCTTGGCCGTCCATTCTCCTCATTATCACTTTTCTCATATCTGAAGCTAACCAGCGTCACCTGACCAGAATGGTCCTCTTCAAAGTTACCAATGATGCAGTGTTCTCAGCCGGCTCTCCTCCCCGGTGGTCTGCCTGCGGTGGCCCCAACCGGCGCTTGCAAGCACTTTGAGATAGTGCGGCTTAGTCTCGGGCAGCCGCCTCCATATTTCCACTTGTTCTTTTTTGCCTCCTAGATGTAGGTGTATCCCAAGGTTTGAGTTAGGCCTTTTGACCTGTCTTCCACGTCTCTCCCTAAGAGAGCTCACTCCCTGGGGTTCAGCTGTCACACATACAAAGATGGCTTCCATATGCACATCCGCTGCCCAGACCTTCCTACCGAATCTAGGTCCTTCGTCTCCCAGTGTCTGAGGAGCATCTGTACCTGAATCTCCTGCCAATGCGAATCGAACTCATCTTCTTTGCCCCAGGGCAGGCTCTCTGACCTTCCGTTCAACCCCTTCTTCATCCCTCACAATACCTTAATCACCGAGGCCTTTTATTGAAGTCTCCCATCCCTTCCCCCGTTTCTCCTTCCCATCTCACTTCTGAATGAATGCCTTGTTGAATTAGTGAATGATCTCTGACCACAGCCTTTCTCCCCATCTTTTCTGTACCTATGTACTTCCGCGCAATTATTTTTCTTGATATAGTACTTCACACACTTTGCCCCTCCTTAAAAACTTTAAGTGGTATCCTAGTGTCCCAAATGGTGGTGATCAAACTTTTGATCATGCGCTTGTTAGCAAAAAACTTTAGATTACTCACCCCCAATGTATGTGCAATAAAACGTACAAAAAACAGGTAATTTAAATGGATGAGGTAGATGAGATTATTTTTTTAAAGAAATTTATTTGTTTAGGGCAAAAGTATAAAATTTTTAAAGTGCTTGAATATGCTCCGTTATTTAAAAAAATATTTATTAAATATGTTGTGAGGCACCAATCTGAAAGTCTGTTTCTGAGTTTCAGAAGTTATGTGTATAGAGAGAGTCATCTAAATCACAACAGATGAAATCAGGAAGGAGGGGAGGGTGGAGAATAGAAAGAAAAGGAAGGAACATTCTAGCACTGTACTGAATGACAGAGTTGGAAGGCTTTATCTTGTCTGTTCTGTTATGAAAAATTATTCACCAACTAGTACTGGCTTTTAGTTTTAAATACATATGCTTTTTTTTTTTTTTTTTTAAAGATTTTATTTTTCCTTTTTCTTTCCAAAGCCCCCCGGTACGTAGTTGTATATTTTGAGTCGTGGGTCCTTCCAGTTGTGGCATGTGGGACGCTGTCTCAGCATGACTTGATGAGCGGTGCCATGTCGGCGCCTGTTATCCGAACCGGTGAAACCCTGGGCCTCCCAAGCAGAGCCCGCGAACTTCACTACTTGGCTACGGGCCACCCGGATATGCTTCTTATCTTTTAATTTTTTACTATGAATTTTCAAAATATACTAAAGTAGAGAAATAGAGTCATGATCCTCCCTGTACCCATCATTTCACTTCAACAATTTTCAAGAACCATGGCCAATCTCGTTTCATTTATTTGCTCCTCCCCATCCCTGTCCCCAGCTCCAAAGTGTTATTTTAAACCAAATCCCAGAGATCATTTGCTTCGTAAATACTTAAGTATCTCTAAACGATAAGGACTCTATTTTATTAACATACCCACAGTACAATGATCACATTTTTTTTTTTAAGATTTTATTTTTTCCTTTTTCTCCCCAAAGCACCCCGTACATAGTTTCATATTTTGAGTTGTTGGTCCTTCCAGTTGCACTATGTGGGACGCCGCCTCAGCATGGCTTGATGAGTGGTGCCACGTCGGTGCCCAGAATCTGAACTGGAGAAACCCTGGGCCATCAAAGTTGAGCGTGGGAACTTCACACGGCCTCGGCTGGCCCCTACAATTACAATTTTAATATCATCTTGTAACTAGTAGGTGTTCAAATTTCCCTGAAATTGTCATAATTTGACTTGTGTTTTCAGGAAAAGTCCTACACAGACATAATCTGTAATTGTTTTGGTATGTTACATATCCAATATATTTAGACATTTTGTTTCAGTTTCTTAACACAGTTTTTTGTTTTATGAATTTTATTATGGTGTGGTTTTTTCTGCCTGATTTGAAACATCAAAACCATTTAAACTCATAAATTGGGTTGTTAACCTACACTTTCTATATTTAAAAGAGTAGATATAATACAGAGATAATTTGGTCTATGCAAGTTTGGATGGATCCTTTGGGGGAATTCATTAAACTCTTTTTTTTTTTTTAGTGAGGTGATAAGTTCTTCTTACATTTATTGATCTAGTCATATTTTTTATTTCCTTTTACGTCTCTTTTGAATTTGAGAATTACAGATTTTTATTCCATTAATGTACATTGTGTCCTCATAATAAGGACCTTTGGGAGAATTTTTTTTTTGCCTCAAAGCCTAGAAAATGTTTTTTTCTCCAGGTATGTTTTAAAAATCTTCTCCCCTTGCAGCAACTTATAAAACCTTCTCTTCTAAAACTTGACATGTGGGAATGTAAGGACTTGCTTTGTAGATAACAGGTTCATGGGATCTGTTGATCAATTGATACCCATGTTGAGATTACCATTCAGTCTGATAAACTATTCTCTGCCTGAGGACAGTTTGCGTGCTGGACTTAGAAAATTTCTTCTATAGTGCTATTATCCATAGATAGGATTTCTCTTACTTATTCTGTAGTTACCATCTTTTCTCTTACATTACTTTTAGCTATATATTTTAGTCAACAGCAGGGCTTGCTTCAGTGTTGCATAATTATTTGTTTTGATGTATCACTTTGGATATTCCTGTTTGTTTTACCGAAATATATGCCCACAGGTGGAGTTGTAACCCCAGTTCTGACAGAAATAATAGCTACCATTTATTGAACAAATAACTACGTACCAAGCACTATGACAAGCACTTTAGAGACAGTATCCTAGTCAGTCTTTCCCAGGATTCTTGAGGTAGGTATTGTAAGTCCCAACTTACTGTTAGGAAACAGGCCTAGAGCTGTTTAGAAATTTCCTGAGGGTCACATAGCAGATAGCTTTCAGAGTAAGGGTAGAACCCAGATCTGCAGACTTCCTAACTAGTCCTTGTGTAGTCACGTAGCTGTATGAAACGCGATCTTTCATAATTCAAGTTATTTTTCGCGAGCATGATTTCTAGTTAACCGTTTAAAACAGGCTTGTCTGAGTGTCTTCAACTAGCTTTGTGGTTTCTGCCAATGTGGGTGTTTCCTCTGGGCTTCCTGTTTGTATGCCTTTCTCTTTTGCTTAATTGAAACTTTGGGTGGGGGTGGGTAGGTGCGGAGAGGATTAGTTGACTATTTCATAAATTGAAAAAGAAATACGCCAAAATGCAAAGAATAATATAATAAACATAAGAGTATATAGATTCTGATTATGTAACAAAAGTTATATTATATAAAAGAATATATGGTATAATAAGCTTATAATTCACCTCCCAGAATAAATATTTACATTTTTCATTTTGCTTCTTATCTTTTAAAATAAATAAAACCCACAAAAGGCCTAAGGGTATTATTTTTTTCTCTTCCCTAGTGTCCTTCCCTTCTCTCTCTAAAAGCAACCTCAGTCATGATTTTGGTGTGTATCCTGTCCTTCCATGATTTTATAATTTCCTTGTATGTATATTTGTATCCATATACAAAATGTAGTATTGTTTTATGTGATTTAGAATTTCTACTCAACGTTATGTTTTGGAGATCTACTCCTGCTGTCATAAGGATCTAGTTTATTAATTTTAACAGCTGTATAGTATTTCATCATCTGATTAATACCACAATTCAGAACCTATCCCCTCAATAATGGGCATTTGTGACATTTCCAGTTTTTTGCTACAACAAACCATGCTGCCAAGAATATACATGTCTCTTGGTGCTCATGGCAAGAACTTCTCCAGTGTAGACCATTAGGAAATGGAATTACTAGGTTGAATGTTTGCACAGCTTCCACTATTCCAAATTCTGACAGGTTAGTGTTAAAGGTGGTTGTAACAATTTACACCTCCATGTTTGAGAGTCCCGGTTTCCCCATTTTATGGCCAACTGGCACTTGGTATTACAGGACTGTTTTGATTTATGCCACCACTATGAAGGGTATAAAGTAGTATCTTATTATTTTAATTTTAAAAGAATTTTCTCATGAAAGTTCTTTTTTTTTAAAGATTTTATTTTTCCTTTTTCTCCCCGAAGTCCCCCGGTACGTAGTTGTATATTTTTAGTTGTGGGTCCTTCTAGTTGTGGCATGTGGGATGCCGCCTCAGCATGGCTTGATGAGCGGTGCCATGTCTGTGCCCAGGATCCCAACCAGGGAAACCCTGGGCCACTGAAGTGGAGCGTGCCAGCTTAACCACTCAGCCACAGGGCCAGCCCCTAAAGTTCTTATTATGTGATATTTAAGTCTTATGAAAATATATAAAGCATGCAATGAATATGTGTGTACCCACAAATCGGTTTCAGAAATAGGATATCAACAATCCCTCCGGAATCCCTCTGGAATTCTCTTCCTTGATCATCTTCCCCATCATAGACGTGATAACTAGAGAAAAACACTGTTCTTTTTTTCTCTCCAGCTTTATTAAGGTATGATTGACTAAGAAACATTGTATATATTTAAGATATACCACATGATATTTTGATATATGTATACATTGTGAAACGACTCCCTCAATCGAGCTAATTAACCTATCCATCACTCTCTTTACCCCCCCTTTATGATAAGAACACTTAAGATCTACTCTCTTAGCAAATTTCAAGTATACACTACATTTTTATAAACTATAGTCATCATGCTGTACCTTAGATCTCCAGAACTTATTCATCTTATACTTGAAAGTTCATACCCTTTGACCAACATCTCCTCATTTCCTGCCCTGTCAGTTGCAGGCAACCGCCATTCTACCCTCTTTTTCTATGAGTGACTATTTGATAGAGTCCACGTATAAGTGAGATCATGCAGTGTTTGTCTTTCTGTGTCTGGCTGATTTTGCTTAGGACAATGTCTTTTAGGTTCATATGTGATGTCATGTGAAATGGCAAGATTTCCTTCTTTTTATGGCTGAATAATATTCCATTGTATTCATATATATATGTGTGTGTGTATATACATATATATAGACCTCATTTTCTTTATCCATTCATCTGTATCAACAGATGACACTTAGGTTGCTTCCACACCTGGGCTATGGTGGATAACGCTGCGTTGAACATGAGAGTGCAGGTGTCTCTTTGAGATACTGATTGTATTTCCTTTGGATATGTACCCAGAAGTGGGATTGCTGGATCATGTGGTAGTTCTAATTTTAATTTTTCAAGGACCCTCCATACTGTTTTCCATAATGGCTATACCAGTTTACAGTCCCACCAACACTGTTCTGCTTGTGAGGTTTATTTTTGTCATACATTTATTATTTTTTCAAATATGTGTGTATTTCTAAGCAGTAGTTAGGATTGTTTTGCCTCTTTTCAAGCCTATAAATTTCATCAATACTAAGTGTGCAAATACTTGCTTTATTCGCTCTTGTTTGTGTAGCAGGATGTTTCTGAGACTCACCCCTAAGATACAGAGCCTTATTTCTGTAACACCTCAAGACCTGGGCAAGATAGGCTTCTGTCCTGGGCCCTCTGCTTTACAGGTCCTAGTTTGGGCCTCCTCCAGTTGTGTCCCTACGGTTTTTTTTTTTCCCTAAGGAAGATTTGCTCTGAGCTAACATCTGTGCCAGTCTTCCTCTGTTTTGTATGCGGAATGCCACCACAGCATGGCTGATGAGTGGTGTAGGTCCACACCTGGGATCCCAACCTGTGAACCTGGGCCGCTGAAGTGGAGCATACAAACTTAACCACTATGCCCCCAGGCCAGCCCCTGTATCCCTACTTTCTGAGGAGTCTGTGGAGCCAAGGAATCATACTCCTCTAGAGCCTGTGGCCCCCACTCTCATTCTAGACCATGCTCTTGGTTCCTGGGACACTGGAATTCCCAAGCCCACTTCCAGAGCCTGAGTGGGCTTCTTCCCCAGGTCTTCCTACATGTGGGAGGAATTTGGATGTACAGGCTGACGTGTCCACTGCCTCTGTGTGGCAGCACTAGCGGTGTGGGACAGAGCCTGGGGTGGGAAGAGAAGTGGTAGGCCAAAGTTGGGAGCCAAGGCTGACTTTCTTCATTCTGCTGTATCCTATCATAGAACTCTCAGGAGTCTGAGAATTCCAAATTCCATCTTGGCCTTCCAGGTTGTTGTGAAAGTACGTTTGTCAAGATAGAAAGGTAGAACACATTTTCTTGAACCACTTCTTAGCTTGATTAATTGCTTTTAAGTATTTAGACACTCGGTGCCTGGGCCTCCGTTTTATCTTGCCCCGAGCCCCATCTGTTTTAGAAGAGGGGCTGCTCTAGGTCATTCAAATGGATAGTTTTCTTTTGTATGAAGGTACACAATTTATATATCGATTTTTGTTTTATTAAAAGATAGAGTGTTTTCAATATTTTACTATTACAGACCATGACGCATTGAACATTTTGGTACATGTTTCCCTGTGTGCACGTGCAGGAGTTTCCGAAGTATCTAGGAGTGGAACCCCCACACTGAAGGTTTGTGAGATAACCCCAAATTGTTTTCCAAGTGTGTATTCCCAGATTTACTCTCACCAGAAGAATATGAGTATTCCCTTGCTTCATATCCTTGCCAATTGATATCATCAGCCTTTAAAAATCTGTGCCAATACAAGGAGTGTGAAATTGTACCCTGTGTGGTTTTAATTCCTTATGTATTCTGGGCCTCTAGCCCTTTTAAGCCATAATGCTCATTTTTTAAGTTTGTCGTACTTCATGTCTAATTCCTAGTAGTTGCTTCTTATTTGCATTTTGGTTTTTTTTGGTCATCTTAGCACTCTCTTTTTGTCTGTAATGGCCTTTATTTTATTTTATTTTTTGCCGTTTTAAAGTGTGCAGTTCAGTGGCGATAAGTACATTCACAATGTGCAACCGTCACCACTATTTAGTTCCAGAACAGTTTTATCACCTCAAAAAGAAACTCACACCCAGCCACCGTCACTCCTCATTCTCCCCTCTCCCCAGCCCCTGGCAACCTCTAATCTGCTTTCTGTCTCAGTGGATTTGCCCATTCTCGATGTTTCCTATAAACAGAATCGTATAATCTTTGTCTCATTGCGTCTGGCTTCTTTCACTCAGCATGATGTCTCAAGGTTCACTTTTTACTTTTGCGTGTGACATGTCATTTGTGTGGGTGTATCTACCCAGGAGGAGTCTTCCTGGAAGCTCCTTCTGTCAGTAACTGTGCTCTGTCCATGGAGTCTCCTTGTCAGGCTGATTGCTTTGGAGACACGCCATTTTCTGCAACATCGTGGCATAAAAGGGTGTGTACCCAATAAGAATCATTTGGGAATTTTTGTTCTCTTTTCAGATTTGCTTCATGTTTATTTTAATTTGACTTTCAATTTCTGTGGGCTTTCTGCAGAAATTAAGCTAAGAAACAACATTATAAGGGATACTGTGAATTGTGATAAAATCTTAAATAAGTGACAAGCATTTGATAACAGGGTATTTTCTATTTTTCACATCGTATAGAGATGGCAGAATTAAACATTTAAAATAAGTGTAGATTTGTCTTCCTTCCATAAAAGGGTTCTAATTTGCTTACTGCTCCTGACCTCATTTACTTCCAAGCAGGGATCTATGATCTTTACCTACAGGCTACTTTGGAATTGGCAAGGCCCCAGGATGGGGGTGGAAACAAGCAAAAGAATCCAGAAGGACCTAGGATTTCAGGCCCAGTGAGAAGTCAGTTTAACCAGGTTTTGGAGCAGAGGAGCTAGACTCAGGGTGGGAGGCACGAGTGGAGACCCATTTCATCATCTCTTAACACCTCCCCACTGAGGAGAGATTTCAATCCGTTTCAGACCAACTCAGAGTATCAGGTTAAGAGAAGTCCCCTAGGGAAGTAGTTACCAAACATTTTCATTCCTCACTCCCGTCAATAGAGAACACTTTAAGCATGTACTCCTATTATGTGTATATTTATTTAAAAATCATACACACAATGTGTAACTCTTAATTTGTATGTTAAATATTTCCTAACTTTTTACCTTTAAAAAAAAAACCTTTAAAATCAACTTTATTGACGTATGAGTTACGTGCAATAAAATGTACCCATTTAAAATGTACAATTTGAAGACTCTTCACAAATGGGTACGCTCCTGTAACCATCACCATGATTAAGATAGAGAAAATTTGGGGGCCGGCCCCGTGGTGCAGCAGTGAAGTGGGCACGTTCCACTTTGGTAGCCCGGGGTTCACTAGTTCGGATCCCGGGTGTGAACATGGTACTGCTTGGCAAGCCATGCTGTGGTAGGCGTCCCAGATATAAAGTAGAGGAAGATGGGCATGGATGTTAGCTCAGGGACAGTCTTCCTCAGCAAAAAGAGTGGGATTGGTAGCAGATGTTAGCTCAGGGCTAATCTTCCTCAAAAAAAAAAAAGAAATAAATGCATTATCTCATTTAAAAGAAAAAATTTTCCATTAGTACTGAAGGTTCTTTTGTGCCTCTTCTAAGTTAACCATTTAATCCTTCCTACTCCTCTACTCTTTTCAGCCCAGGCAATCATTTTTTACCTTTTTAGATAAAAAATAAATATAAAGAGTTGTAACATTTTTTCCCTGCACCCTGATGGATCACCCTTGGGTACCCAGCTTCGGAATATATCTGAATTATTTCAATGGCTATCTGAATCACTTGGGGGGAATGTATTAAAATGCAGATTCCCAAGTCTCACTCGGTACAGCTATAGACTACACACAGATCCTTGGCCCCCCCACCCCTCCCATCCTCAGCGGGCCTGGTCCCTTCCTGTTGCCCTCTGCGGCCCCGAGTCTCGCAGCCTACCTGATACAGTCCTCTCCCCAGGCTGAGGCCTGCAGCCGCCTGCACCTTGGGCTCACCATGTGGCAGCAGGCAGCTGGGTTTCTCTTCTTTGGGCCTAGTGAGTTCTGGGTCTTTCAGTTGTGGTTAAAGCAGGTCCGTTTCTTCAGCTCCTCTCTGCCCCCAGCTGCTCCTTACTCTGCTTCTGTGCTCTCCTCTGATCTCCTGTGATTCTCCCCCATCTCACTAGGGGGCTCCAGATTCGGCAAACCACCCTGCCCTCTAGTAACATGGCAATTGAATCTTGAACATTAGAAGTACAAACAACAGGAGTCTCATGGCTTTAAAATAATACTTCGTTAGCGTTGTTTTTGATTGATGACATTTTATTTTTTAGATAAATGTTCTCTAGATTTTATCTTTCACACATCCGGGTTCCTTTTTCACCTGTCTTATATCATGGTGAGCTATTTCCTGTTTTCTGTGAAAATCAACTATTTCTTTGTTTTGATCACCGCCCCCCCAAGCCCCGCCCTCCCCAACCCCGTCGAGGTGTTGGAGAGCAGAGGGAATGAGGAGGAGAAGGGTAGGAATATTCTGATACAAATTACTGTCAAAAAATAAGACTCTCCCTTGCATTATTATCTTTTTCTCGCTGGTCTGCTTGTTGAGGTCAGAGCTGGCCCTGTGTTTACCGACGTGCGAAGTGCAAGAGCTCAGAGGTGAACATCTCATTCAGGAAACTAATTTAGAAACTAATCTGACAAGCCCAACCAGCAGATCTCAGCCCTGACTGCACATTCGAATTACCTGGGGTCCCACCTCCTGTCAAATCAAATCAGTCTCCAAGGGTGTGGTCCAGGCTTAGGTATTTCCAAATACTCCTCAGTTGATTATCCTGTGTAGCCAAGGATGAGAAGCACTCTGCAGGCTAGGCCTCATCGGTGGTGGGGGGAGGATTTATTGCCAGGGTTAAAATAACATTTTGTTCTGTAGCTGGGAGAGAAAAGTGAAAAGGTCATTTGTTTTTAGTCTTTTGGCCTGAGATTCTTGAAAGAGAGACAATTTTGCCTCTTTCAAGGCCATCTTTGCTTTTTTTTTTAAAAAAAAATTATCATATCCTCTCCCAACTCACACTGTTTGAAGTTTATCTGCTCCAAGTGCAGGCAGCATTCTGCAAATGCTTGTTTTTCCCTGGGCCCTTCAAAATAGCTTCTCAGCGAGCTCTTTCTGTGCCAGGAGGTGGGGAGACCCTGCGGGTACGAACCAACTTCTGTGGGATCCATTGTCCTTTGTTGGAGGAAGAAACCTTGAGCCACGATACTCCAAGTGTACTCATTAGACCAGCAGCATCAGCGTCACCTGGGAGCTTGTTAGAAATGCAACTTCTCGGCCCCCACCCCAGACCTGTTGATCAGAAACTCTGGGGGTGGGGCCCCAGCAATCTGTGTTCTAACAAACTCTCTAAACGATTCTAATGCCCACTAAAACTTTGAGACTCACCCAGTAGGTCTGGGATGGAGCCTGAGAATTTGCATTTCTGACAGCCTCCCAAGAGATGCTGACAGTGCTGGTCCGGGGACCTCACTTTGAGAACCACTGGCTTAGAGAAGCCCAAGAAGCCATGGGGGGCTTTCACACTATTTCCTGGTGTAAGCCTCCCAACCAATATTAGGGACCTGGAGCTGGGGCAGAGTGATCATAAGAAAGTGGGAAGGAAGCTCCTGTCACCTTAAACCGAAACACGACCTCCATTGAGCCCTAACCAGGATCAGTGCTGCTGAACTTGTCTCCTCAAGGCCCATCGGAAGAAATAGTTTGTATCATTTGTGTCCCTGCGACACCCTTTATATGATTTATATGCATTCTCTCTTCTTATACTCTGCTCTCAATTTTCCATTTAGTCCAGGGGAACAGTGGCCTAAATAATCCAGAGTGCCTTTTTCTTTCTTTCTGATTTGGAAAAGTTTCAGATACGTCTATTTTTGTTTGCTTTTTGGGATCTGGGTTCAGTTACCAGATCTTCCTCTTATTTGAGTCACCTTTGATTTCTCATTTTATCCCACCTCAGTTTCCCAAAGTGAAAAGTAAACTGTTGTCTCATAGGATTTTTGTAATGACTAAATTAAACAACAGATGCAGAGTTCCTGTCACTTAGTAAATTGGTCATAAATGTTAGTTTCTGTACTTCTGCTCTCACACCCAAATACTGTACAGTACAAACTGCCCCACCCCCGTGGCTGATGAATATGCTGACATTAGGGCAAAGATGAAGCCTCTGAGAAGAAGTTGGGAGAAGTCTAGGCAATGTGGGGAAACAGCAGGGCCTCCCAGGGAGTGGGCTGCAGGTCAGAAACCAAGGCTAGATCTAGATGTGGCCAAGTGAAGCTGGGTTCTAGCTGAGTATCACAGAATCTAGAGGAATGAGCAGTTTGCCTGAGGATGGAGATGAGAATGCAAAGTGAAACTGGGCCCTCAGGCGGGCAGTGTGTGCTGAGTGGGCTCTTCCTCTAGGCTTCAGTGTCTTAGGTGGGCTTGGAAAGCCTGGACACTCAGAGTTCCAGGCAGAGGGGTCCCCATTGGGCTGCCTGGCTGCCTTTAGTGATTTAGAGGAAAGGTCACTTCCAGGCCCTAGGAAGTGCCCCACTCCTCCTCATCTAGGACAGGGCAGGCACAGGGCAGGTGTGAGCAATGCTGCATCTTGCTGGGTTCTGGAGAGGGGCAGAGCCCTCATCTGTGACCCTAATTTGGCCACAGGAGAGGTACCATAGTCTTGGCTCCGTGTTCAGGCTGTCTGGCCTAGAGCTAAAGGGAAAGCAAAGATTCTTAATTCCCTCTGACTAACAGGTGTCAGGCATCTCTGGGCCAGAGGGCAGAACCTGTCTAGTGGTCAGGAGTTGTCATTTTCAGTTCCATGTCAAGAGGATCGTTAGTGGCAATGGCCAATGGAGTGAGGATGCTTTATGAGGTAATGAGGTTCATAAACTTCTCATAAAGCTATAAGGGAGGGGCTTTCTGCTTTGGGCAGGAAGCTGGGCCCTTCTTGCTGTAAATTCTTTTCAGATTCCCCCTCCCATGGGGGTTGGGAGAGTGATGAGGTGGAGTCTTTGTCCAGCTGCTGAGGGCTTGGATGGTGGGGCCTGCTGGGTAGCAGTTATCTGAAACCACAGAACCCAAAGCAAGCAGAGAGCTGAGGTCAGCCTTATCAAGGAGTGTCCAAAACACACTAAAAGCCAGGGACACCGGGTGGAGAAAGCAAGGAGAAGGCCTGCCTGAGAAAACAGCTGGGAGAGAGGCTGTAGCCAGGGTCTGACCAGCTGCCCTTGGCTTCTCCATGAAGCAAGGTGCATGGGAGGGGTGGTTGGATTTTAAGGGCTGGTGCTGTGGCTGACACAGTCGGCGATTCTGTGATTTTTCTTATGAGGTTCCACATCTAGATCTGAAGGCAATTGCAGAGGGTTTCAGAAATGCCTACGCACAGGCAGCAGCATCTGAATGTGACTTTTAAAGATTAATTCTTAGAGAATAACTTTTACCTAGATGTTTACATTTTGAGAAAAATCGTTACCAATTTCAATAAGATGATTTTGCAAAGTCACTTGCATTTCTGTTTACTAGTGACAAACAACTAAAAAATAATAGTGGCAACAGATAAATGTTTAATATTTGGAAAATGAGTACTATTAAAAGAAAGATTTTAATTCTCAATAAGAAAAATAGAACAGACTTGAATAAATGGAGAGATATTTTATATTCCAGAATCAGAAGATTTAACATAATTAAGATGATATAATATCCAATCTAGTTTATGGAGTCAACACGAATTAGATTCTTAATATGATATTTTACGGAAATTAACAAAACCATAATAAAATTTCTATAGAGAGAAAATAGTTAAGCACACTAAAGAGTTTTTTGAAAAGGAATAAGCCAATGATATGATAAATTACTGTTAATATTTAAAATATGGTGCAAAGCACGTTTAAATTATGTAGTATGGGTTTCAAAGCAGAGCAGTAGATTGATAAAATGCAATAGGGATTCCAACAGTTCTAAATTTATTAAAAGGTTAACACACAATAGTCCAAGATAACACAATAATAAAAAGGAATCCTATTTAATATACATTAATGAGAAAAGTTGACATAAAGCACTGGTGTTCCCCGACACCACTTGTCATAATAAGCTCCAGATGTTTTAAAGAATTAAAGTTGAAAATGTCTCCTTTAAAAATGAAACAAAATGTTATAGCTATCCAGCTATGGTGGAGGAATTAATTTCTTGGTATTTTAATAGTAGGCTAGGTTATGAATGGCAAACTGGAAGGATCTGATCATATAAAAATTCAGCAACAACTTTAATAAGTTCTTGATAAAAAGGGAAAAAGTGAAAAACTGTTTGAAATAAGGCTAAGGATTAACATCAAAAAATATAAAAAATATACATATAAAGAACAATTATAAGTCTGTACATCGGTACCCATTATCCACTAGATAAACAGTTAAAGGATATGAACAAATAGTATAAGTAAAAGGAACTATAAGCATCAAGCCAACATTTGGGAATATTTCAGTCTTGCTAAAAACTAAAGTTAAAAGCATAAGTCTATTTCATAACTATTGAAGGAGCAAAAGTGATAAAACTCCATGTGAATGTCTTTGCAGGGAAATAGACACACTCACAGATTGCTGGTGTGTGTTCTAGAGAGCAGTAGATCAAAATGAAACTCAAGCTGCCAAGAAAATTATTGTGTCCTCCCAAAGGAGTAAATCCCAGGAAAATAATGTAAAAGAAAGGTTGTTTGTATAAAGGTAATTGTAGTCACACTATTTATAGAGTGAAAATCTAGTCATTACCTAACCACCCGATAATTTGATAATGGTTGTGCAAACTAGAAAATATTAATATCCCATTATATTAGTAACTATTAAAACCACGAATCTGAGGACTTTGCGTTATTATAGGTAGCATACATGAGTTAAAAAGTGTAATGAGTGTGTTATGTGGACATTGATAACTATCAAGTTACGCTTGTCTAATGAAAACATCATTTCTATTAGGCTTTCTCAAGGATCTAAATCACTGCTTCTCAGACTTTAATGTTAATAAATCATATGGGGATGTTGTTGAAAGGCAGATTTTGATTCAGTAGGTCTGCGGTGGGGCCTGAGGTTCTAAATTTCTGATAAGCTCCTAGGTAATGGGGATGCCACTGGTTTTCCCACAATGCTTTGAATAACAGCGATCTAAATCTCTGCTATTTAGTATGGTAGGCATTACTGTGTGTGGCTATTCAAATTTAAATTAATTAAAATAAAGTAAAACAGCACATTTAGTTCCTAAGTCTCACTAGCTATATTTCAAGTGCTCAGTAGCCACATATGGCTTCCATCTTGGAAAGCTCAGATTATACAACATTTCCATCATCACAGAAAGTTCTGTTGGACAGTGTTGACCTAAATCATCAATGTCTTAGAGTAAAGAGGATTTTTATTTCTTTTTCTGTGGAGTTGTTTGAAATATACAATTAAGAGCTTGTTCCATTCCTTTGTAGGAAATCTTATAGGTATACATTGGTGTGTAAGACACAGAAGAGATAAAGCAATGAACAATTTCATAGAATTAAAATGTTTGATAAATGGAATTCTCTTCCCATTGATTTTATTGTCAGTCCATAGATGTGTTATCTCAATTATTCCTTGTCTCTCAGTGGGCAATCATTTCCAATAAATTAGTTTCAGTTTCTTTGCCAATTTTTTTCTCTTCTCACATTATTAATATATACTAAGAAGAGGTACTGTTTAAAGAAGCATTGCAATAGTTTAAAGCATAGATCCCTCCCATCTAGCTGTCTCATCACTTTGTCTTTTTAAAGTATGTTCTTGGGGCCAGCCCCGTGGCCGAATGGTTAAGTTCGCACGCTCTACTTTGGTGGCCCAGGGTTTCGCCGGTTCGAATTCTAGGCACAGACATGGCACCACTCATCAAGCCATGCTGAGGTGGCATCCCACACGCCACAACTAGAAGGACCCACACCTGAAAATATACAACTATGTACCGGGGGGCTTTGGGGAGAAAAGGGAAAAATAAAATCTTAAAAAAAATTAGAAAGTATATTCTTTAAGTAGGATCAAGCTGTGTAGATAACAAAAGATATGGGCGTTGATCTTCAATGGCTGAAAGTTCCCTGGATGATTTCTTCTGTGAAGTGGAAACACTGACAGTTGTCCTTTCTTCCAGGAATTTATGCAAATATTCTCATGATGTTCTCTCAGAAGAGAACTTCAGAATCCTGAAAAATCATGAGCTCTCTGGACTCAACAAAGAGGAATTAGCAGTGCTCCTCCTCCAAAGTGACCCCTTTTTTATGCCTGAGGTGAGTTATGATTTCTTAGTTTAAAAAGTAGGGAGAATATTGGCAGCGTTGTGTCATAGATGTGTTGGAATAGGAGCAGACAAAACGCGTAAGTTAGCCTCAGGGCTCTGCAGAAGGCAGTCAAGGCTGTTGCTGAGTGACCTAAGAGATTCCAGCAATTTCCTTCCTATTTGAAGTTTTATAAGAATTTGCCTCCTCCTCTCGGCTGCTAGGGAACCCTGTGTGAGCTTGTGTGATCTGAAGATATGCTAGGAGGACTAATTGATGCTTTACATCGGGGCAGCCTCCTGGAAGAGATGGGCTTTGAATCGAGGTTTTGGAAGATGACAGGGTGTATTGTTTGAGGCTAAGCTGTTGTTACAAAGAGACCCCAGAATGTAGTGATTCAAATAAAATATAATTATCGCATCTCGTTGGCCACAGCTTATCACATGGTCACACTGGAGGCTGGGAAATGTAGTTTCTGGCTGGGTAACCATATGTCCAGTTAAAACTTGGAAGCTTCTGTCACTAGGAGAAAGGTAGGAACAATGGTGGGTAATTAAGAGTCTCATCCATTGGCTTGAGAATAAGAGGATGCTGTTTAAAGAATGGTATCTGACCATTCTGAGAAAAATCTTTGAGTAGAGAAGTTAGCCTCACACTGAAAGAGACGCAGAAGCATAATGGAAGACCCAAGTGGAGTGGGTGGAAGAGATGGAGATATGATAAACAAGGCTGAAATTCAGGTGCACTTTGATATATGACAATATAGCTATTAGGGACCTCTGGAGGGTTAAACATGTTTTGACTCTAAGCTCAGTGTGTTTCCCTGAGGACCTAAAAAACTTAGGACATGAAGGGTGGTTTTGCGTTTAAAAAGCTCAGGAGAGGGGCCGGCCCGGTGGCGCAGCGGTTAAGTTCGCACGTTCCGCTTCTCGGCGGCCCGGGCTTCGCTGGTTCGGATCCCGGGTGCGGACATGGCACTGCTTGGCAGCCATGCTGTGGTAGGCGTCCCACGTATAAACTAGAGGAAGTTGGGCACGGATGTTAGCTCAGGGCCAGGCTTCCTCAGCAAAAAGAGGAGGACTGGCAGTACTTAGCTGAGGGCTAATCTTCCTCAAAAAGCAAACAAACAAACAAAAGCTCAGGAGAAATAGGAATGCAAGGCACTCTATATAAATATATTTGGGGAGGGGGAAGGGAGAAGGAAAATACATCCTATTTCTTCTCCCCACCTCATGCATTCTTTCATCTAAGAACTTGGATTTGTCTCTTTGTCTCTGTTCCCAGGAGCCCACGGTTTAGAGATCTTGGGCTGTCTTTGGCCCTTAGCCTGTGTGCCAACCCTAGTCCCCCATGGCTACCAGCATGAGGAAATGCCTTATACCCCAACCTTGTTAAAGGTCCCCTTGACAAGCAGAGGCATCCCCTTCTTTTCCTTTTTTGTGAAGGAACGATGTAATGAAGACTTGTTATGACACTTGAGAAGATCGTAGACCTGCGGTCTAGTGCTAACTTGGAGGCTTGGAAAGGTCACACATCGGGTCTGAACTCTGTTTCAATTCTCCAAAATCACCAAGGACTTTTTATATCAGGCCCCACATCTGAGTCGAGGCCCTGGAGAATAAGGGGCGTGGCAGCTCTTCCCTTTTCAAGGGAGGAGGTCAGGAATTAGGAATCCAAGAGAGGGTTCCCAGAAGAGCTGATTGACAGAAGCGCTGAGAGGGTCCTCCTGGGAAATGCCCCTCATCCTTTCATCAGAGACCAAAGAAGGGGGCAGTGTCACCTGAGGCTCCCTTTCCCTTTTAAGAATTCAATAGCGATGATTAATGGGTGGGGTGAGGAGGGTCATGCCTGAAGTTTATTTTTAGCTAATAATTTAGTTGCCATTTGCCACATGTCAGGGTTAAGATCACAGCCTGGGAGATTGCACTGTTTCCTGAACTAGGTCTGAGGAGCTAGTTCCTGTAGTGGAAAATCGCCCAGAGCATCACTAGCATAAGTTCTATTGGAAAATACTGGGCAAGAGAGGTCTCTAATGGAGTGTTTTAACTTGGGAGAGTAGGGCGGAATATTTTCACAGGGTTTACAAGGAGGGGTCAGCCAGAGTTCAGCTAGTTTCAAGAATAGTTGGTCAAGGAAGGTCCTTCCGTGCTCTCAAAGTCCTGAGTCTGCCCCTAACTACCTGTGTGATCGTGGACAAGGCATTTCATCCTCGGGGTCTCGTTTCATTTTGCATTTGTTCAGCTAACACTTAGGAGTGCCTGCAAGTGGTAGGCACTGAGTTAAATCCTGGAGGCAGCAGTGAACCAGACACACTCCATGCCCTAAAAACAAAATATTCACACTTTTTCACTTCGCTTTGACCTGTGAGAACATAAAAGCGTCAGGAAAACCTGACTTCCTGGTATATAAACTTGTAAAATTGAAATGTGCTTATTAATGGAGGACATGCTTTCATTTGTTTTGGCTTACTTAAGGCAGGAGCATTCGTACTTAAACAGCAGCATGGTAATAGGAATGTTAATCAGAGCATCATTTGTGAAGTTACTGATTGTCCTTTTTTTGTTTTTTGCTAGAGCCTCTAGGATACTGGTTCTTAAGCTTTAACGTGCATCAGAATCTTTTGGAGGGTTTGTTAAAAAACAAATTGCTGGGCCCCACTTCTGGTGGTCCTGATTCTATAGATAAGGGGAAGGGCCTAAGGATTAGCATTTGTAAGTTTCTGGGTGGAGCTAATGCTACTGGTCCAGGGACCACGCTTTGAGAACTGCTGGTCTAGAGTCTAAATCTAGATAATAGGCTCTATAGCAATGGCAAGTATTTGAATCAGGTTTTAGAAGTTGTCTCTGTGGCTAAATTGTTGTTGCCAGAGTCTAAGATTCCATGTGTTTGCCGCCTAGATAAGTCACAGTGAGCCATGTTGATCTGGTTTACTCAGAGTCTATTGAAACAACTTATAAATGTTTTAATCTTGAAGATTCTTCATATAATGACTCAAACATTTGCATCACATTTTATATTTTGCACAAGACATTCGCATATTTTATTAATTGGCTCAACAACTTGGTTTAGGTAGACAAAGCAAATATTTTCCTACTTTATGGCAAAAGAAACAGAGGCTGCGAGTAAATAAATAATTCAGATGAGGTCACATAGCTGGTTCCAGGGATGCAGAGTTTTAAACCAGCGTCTTCCAGTTCTGCATCATATGGTCTGGCCTCAGTGACAGTATTCTTTTTGCTCCTTTCAGTAAGAACCACATCTCTGTAGAGCTAGATATGTAAATATACCTATTTACATAGAAATAGAAAAATTATCTTATTTAATGCTCTTTTGAGAAACTTTGCCACATTCTGTCTAGCAGAGACTAGATTCTGAATTCCAAACAGTTGCAGGTAAGATCCACATGTCCTTTTAATTGCAGAATGAGTTGATATCCAAAAATGGGCCTTCCTCTTTCGGGTTCCTCTATAACGTAGGGCTCACTTGGGGTCCTGTTTGGTCCTTTCTATAGATGACCATCTTATTTTGATTCTTCCAAAGGCTTATAAAATTCATGTTCTTTTTAGTTAGTGTGCTGGCCTCTTCTGCCCCAAATAAATCATCAACTGCATACAACCCATCCAAGACTGTAGAATACACACGCATTTTTTTCCTCTGGTGTATCTCTGCTTGCTTCCGAAATGTTTGTATACTTGGACTTTCTTTAATGACTATGTGGCAGATTCAGGAAGGTGTTTTGTCTCTGCTGTGCTTTCCTTCTTCTATAGATATGCAAAAATTATAAAGGAGAGGGGCGAAGACAGATTTGCAACCAGCAGCCACCGTGTGAGAGGCTCCACATCTGTGAACACTTTACCCGAGGGAATTGCAGTTATGCCAACTGTCTCAGGTCCCATAACCTGATGGACAGAAAGGTGCTGGCAATCATGAGGGAACACGGACTGAGCCAGGCCGTGGTCCAGAACATTCAGGACATCTGTAACAACAAGCATGGCCGAAAGAAAGCCCCTGGGTTAAGAGGTAAATGCTTTCTACTTTTTAATTAACAGAATAAACAGAAATAAACAGAAATCACAAGGAAAGAAAAACTTTACCTATAATCACTCTACGTCACCACATAAAACTGTTTAGTTTTCTTTCAGACCTTGTCCATATGCCTTCAGAATTTTTGCATAATTTTAATCATAGTATGTAGGCGATTTTGCCATTTGATTTTTGTGCTAAGCGCTACTCCCCCTCCACCAGAGTTTTAAAAATGCTTATCATTTTTCTAAAAGCTAATGGTTAAATCTTTTTTTAAGGGAAAAAGGTAACATTTTTTTAGATTCAGTTGTTAACATTTTGTCACAATTGTTTTATCACTTTTTCTCAATATATGTGTATGTATAGATACCCACACACACATAATATATTTGTAGTTAAAGCATTTGAGGGGTGCAGCCATCAGGAGACTTCACACCTAAATATCAGAGTGGACCTCCTCAAAACAAGGCCATTCTCTTACATAACCACAATACAATTAATACAGGAAATTTAGCATTGATGCAAAACTATATACCATTTAATTTATAGTCCTCAGTACTATTTCTTTAAAAATTATTTTTGTTTTTTAAATTGTGGTAAATATAACATAAAATTGGCCATTTTAACCATTTTTAAGTGTGTAGCTCAGTGGCATTAAGTACATTCATGTTGTTGTGCAACCATCACCATCATCCATCCCCAGAACGTTTTCATCTTCTCTGCTGAAGCTCTGTACCCATTAAACCTTAACTGCACCCCCTCCTCCCCCCAGCCCCTGGCACCCTCTATTCTACTTGCCATCTCTATGAATTTGACCACTCTAGCAACCTCACAGAAGTAGAATCATACAGTATTTGTCTTTTTGTGAGTTGCTTATTTCACTTAACATAGCGTTCTCAAAGTTCTTCCATGTTGTAGCCTGTTTGAGAATTTCCTTTCTTTTTAAGGCTGAATAATATTCCACTATACGGATAACTGCATTTTGTTGATCCATTCATGGATAAACAATGACATCCAACAATGGATGGATACTCCTACCTGTTGGCTATTGGGAATAATGCTGTTATGATCATGGGTGTACTAATATCTCTTTGAAACCCTGCTTTCAGTTCTTTTGGGTCTATACTCAGAAGTGGAATTGCTGGATCACACAGTAGTTCTATGTTTAGTTTTTTGAGGAACCATCATACCATTTTCCACAGCGGCTGCACCATTTTACATTCCTACCAGCAATGCATAACACTTTGTTTCTCCACCTCTTTGCCCACACTTGTTATTTTCTGGTTTTGGATGACAGCCATCCTGATGGGTGTGAAGTGATCAGTACTATTTCTTAAGCATTTTCCTGTGTTTAATGGTATTAACAGTTGCCAATTTTTAATGTCTTTATGAAGTGGATGTAGAAGAGGTGAATTTTATAAAGTAAGTAGAATACATAATTCTAAGATTCTGTAAGAGGTAAGAAACAATTACATCTTATATTTGAGAAATGCTTTATAGTTTACACGGGACTTTGACCTAAAATATCTCGTCATTGTTCCTCAGAGCAAAAGCCCGAAGAAAGGCGGGTGTATTATTAGCCTCACCTAATGGATAAGGAAACTGAGACTCAGAAATTTTAAGTGACTTTTATTGCAAGCAGCATTAATTCATTTTTAAAAGAATGAAGGCTAATACTATGAATAAATAAAAGTATGTTTCCTAGGCCTCACACCACTAGAGAGTAGCAGGGTTCATGTGTTCTGATTCCACATGTAATGCTTTTTCCCGCACACCACAATGCTCTCTGAAAGGGGAATATCTGGAGGGGTGATTTTTGGGTAGTTTCCCAGTATAAATTTATTGTATACAAGAGAAATCTTTATTTATGATCACAAATAGTTAATCTACCTAGTTAACTATTTTGTTGACTGGAGGATGTTGGTTTTTACTATATTCCTGCTGCCCCCTGGGTTTGGAAGAGAAAGGATCTCTCTTCCTTCCCTTCTCTGCACACAATAATACAACCCACACCACACACATACACACTCCACACACACGCACACAAAGCACACATACCACATATATATATATACCACACGCATGCATACACCTCACCTATATCACACACACGCATACCACATGCTTCACACACACACACACATAACACACATACCACATATATAGATACCACACGCATGCATACACCTCACCTATATCACACACACACATACCACACACTTCACACATGCACGTACCATACACAGATGCGTGCATTCACACCACACACACACACTTCACGTACTCAGGTACCCTGCACACACCACACACATATATCTCACCCATGGACACACCTCATACACTAAGTATACATATACCACATGCATGCATCTCTCTCTCTCTCACACACACACACACACACAGTACACCACACATAAACATCACATGCATGTATACCACATGTACACACAGACACACATGCTCACTCCTGCCTCGTCTCTGCTTCCTGGTAGGTGTGATTTCTAGGTTCTAGAAAGAAGCCAATTCTTTTTGATATTACTCGCTTAAGCTTGGGCTCTTGAGGGCTAGATGAAGAACACTGGAAAAATGTCCAGCTTAAATGAAATCAGACCTTTACACCATAGTTTCATTCTTTTTGTTTGTTCTAAGGATTGTGAATCCTTAACTTGTTAGGTACACCTATATCTCAATATGGGCAAAATCTAAGTGACTTTTGGAAAATTCTCCCTGATTTGCACTAGTCTGTCTCTCCATTCACCATAGCGGTGAGTGCTGACTTGAACCAGGGGATAGTGGATAGCCCCACTTAAGATTTTGGGGGTTTGGGGACTGAGTCCCAGGAGAGAAGCCAAGCAGAGCCAGGGTCAGTCCAACTGTTATCCTGGGCCACGGGATGGTGCCTTCCACTGTGCTAGCAGAATGGCAGGATCCCTTCACCGTCATAACTGCGTTTCTCAAGATTTTTACACGCCAGATTAGGACAAGTAACTTGGTAGAACTTGGGTGGCAAACCTGGAAAAGCTGAGGAGGAACAGGGGTAAGAAGTCAATCGTGCTAGCACTAATTTTCATTGTTTTGTTTTCTCTTCCTAGCTCCTTCCTCACATCGCAGAGATGCGCCATATAGAGGTAGAAGCAAGAGTAGAGACCGATTCTTTCATGGCAGTCTAGAAATTCTTCCATCTGCCTCAGCTTCTACTGAGAGGTCCTGCACACCCAGTCCAGACCAAATCAGCGGCAAGGCTCCCCTGGATGATGTACCTGTGAAGGATCTCACCCACAAGTTCATGCATTTGGGGAGTCAGGATTGCCTGCAGCCAGCCTTCGTCTCGCTTAAGCCTTCCAATCTTGGAGGAACAGGTCAAGTGGGAGGAAACCAGAGGTTTGCAGAGAATGGGAGTCCAGAGCGTCTCTTTCGCGGGAATCATGGCAGCAGTTACCGCACTTCTGATTCAACACCAGGTTCCATCTGGAAGGGCCCCACATCCCAGCTGATTAACAAAGCTGCCAGTGCAGAGATTTTGTTTCCTCAGAATCAAGCTGCCTCCTGCTCTCCTCTTGGTTCTCCACAAATACCAAAAATCATAACCACCAGAAAGAGCACGGGCATGTTTTCTTTGGACGACGAGGGCAGAAGTGGGAGTCAAGATGTCCAGCGTTTTCCGCTTTTTAATAATAATGTTGATGGAATGGCCACAGATGTAACTTCCACAAGATCTTTCAATTACAAAACCACAACCAGTAGACAGAGGGAAAAATCGTTACCCAGGAATCAGGACACTGGAGCTACTCACAGTAATCTCCAGATCACTGGCAAAATTACAGACAGTGATATTTCAGCATTATTTGTTAACGATAAACACGGAGAGAAGAGATTTGGGGCTGGTAAATCTTACCATAACACGCCAAATGGCTCTAGTAAAGTTACAGATGAAGCTACTGAGGTAGCTAGAACCGGTGCCACCAGTTTTGGCTTACCATCGGCAGTCAGAGGGGATAAGGACATGTTATGCTCTGGAAGTCAGAATCTGAGAACCCAGGTCCTGCCCACACCTGGGAAGACTACTGCCCCTGTGCAAGTCAGCACTCTGGCCAAGGGGTCACCTTCTACACCTTCTTCAAGCAACAGAGCTGCAGCCTATGGGACCCATGGTCAGAACTCTGCCCAAATCTCTGTTACCCCTGCTAATGAACTTTCAAGAAGGACCCCAGGCTCTGCACTGAGTAAGTCACAGAAGGACAAAGAGGGCCCCATGTCTTGTGTCTGTAGCAAAGTGGCTGTGGCTGGTGATTTATCTTTGGATGTTCCCCTGCACTTATGAAAGGGCGTATAGTAAGAGGGTTTTGGTTAAAGGGTAGTACTGGTGCAGAGACTGACATGAAGATGGAAGGACCAACCAGTAGAACCATATGGAATAAGTTGCTGCACTCATCAGGGACAGGAATAGTTTGACCATGGTTTAAGAAAGAAGCATAATTCTCATGTGATCATTAATGTTTATATTCGCTTTTATGGAGGAGGCATGTAGGCCTTCATCAATAACACGTGAATCATGGGAATTTTCTTGAACTTGGCCCCAGTTTCAGATATTCTTTCCCATTGTGATACCGGGTATCTTGATTTTTGGCTTAAACATTAAGATCAGCATACACGTATCCTCTTTTGTTTTATAGATTCCATATCTGACGTTGCGAATACCACATCTTCCAGGATGGATGATCATGACTCAAAGGAAATTTGTCTTGACAATCTGTATAAGGGTTGTCAACGTAGTGAGTAACTTAAGGACTTTCTAGAAACAGAAACTTTATTAATAGTAACATGGTTAACATTACTGAGCGTTTGCTGTTTGTCAGGCACAATACTAAGAACTTACATGCAACCTCTTTAAATTTCACATCGACTCTAGACGTAGGTGCTGTTCTTAACTCATTTTATAAACGTGGAAACTGGAGGCGTAGAGAGGTTAAGACCTCACATGCACAAGTAGCCAAGTTGGGTTTTGACCCTAAATCACCCAGCCAGCCCATGTTCTTCACTACTGCATATTATACTTTCTCCTTTGCAATTCAATTTTAGGTGAAATATTACGCTTGATCAGGGACCCATCTTTTCATATACTAAAAGCAAACAAACAACAAATAATTCCAAAAGACAAAAGTATCCTAGCAGATGCATTTTCAAAGTTTGTTTCCTCTCATTATTTAGGCACTGTCTCTTCTGGGCCGTGGGCTCTTTCCCATTGCTCCTCATGCGTGTACTGAAGAGACATGGGTGCTCCGTATGACTGATGACGTGTGTGTCATTCCAGTTGAGGAGCCACACCTGTTCACTGTCCGGTCCCACCAGGCTTCCTGTAGAAATATTTCCCACGGGACTGTGCTTGGGACGAATTTCTGTCCTCTCCTTCTACCCTGTTCTCACGTTTCTGCCTCTATCTCAGGCCTGGGTATCACACCTGATTTCATGTGCTCGATCACTTAGTGGTCTTAGACTTATTTGCCTGGTGTCCGAAGAGGAAGATTCTGCCCTGTGTTCTCTAAATCACAAGTCTTTAACTTAAAAAAAAATTTGTTTTTATTTTTAATTGTGGTAAAGTACACGTGACGTAGATTTTCACATCTTAGCCATTTTTAAGTGTACAGTTCTGTAGTGTTAGTTACATTGATATTGTTGTGCAGTCTCCAGGACTCTTTTCATCTGGGAAAACTGAAACTCTGCACCCACTCAACCACAACTCCTCCGTTCCTCCTCCTCCTGACAGCCACCACTCTAGTTTCTGTTTCTATGAAAACGATTACTCTGGGTCCCTCATATGAGGGGAATCAAACAGTTTTTGTTTTGTACGTGTGTGTGACACTGGCTTATTTCACTTAGCATAACGTCCTCAAAGTTCACCCATGTTGTAGGCTGTGTGAGAATTTCCTTCCTTTTTAGGGCTGGATACTATTCCAATATTCCACTGTCTGTAGATGCCACATTTTGTGTATCCATGCATCCATCAGTGGACAGTTGAGCTGCGCCTGCCTTTTGGCTATTATGAATAATGCTGCTGTGAACATGGGTGTGCCCATATCTGCTCAAGACCTTGCTTTCAATCCGCTTGGGTATATCCCCAGAAGTGGAATTGCTCGATTATATGGTAATTCTGTTTAATTTTTTGAGGAACTGCCACACTGTTTTGCACAGCAGCTGCACCATTTTACATTTTCACCAGCAATGTACAGGGGTTCCAGTTTCTCCATATCCTCACCAACACTTGTTATTTTCTGTTTTTTTTTTTTTTTTTTATAGCAGCCATTCTAATGGGTGTGAGGTATGGACTATAACAAGGGGCTGTGTGTTTTTGAATCAGCCAAATCTCAGGCAGTGCCACCCTGTGGCTTTCCCTGTGATGTCAAGCCTGCCTCTTTTTGTTTTAAAGTAGTCACACGTCTTTTGGATAGTTCAAAATGATTTAAACATAACAGAGTGCAAATGGTGAAAAACAGAACTACTTTCTATTTTCCTGTATTGTAGACTTATAACATTAATTTATCATTCAGCAAACATTCATTCAATAGCCATCTTTTGCATGCCCAGCCCTATGCCAGTCCTGCAAGGGAGATGTAAGCTAAACAGTGATGTAAGCTTTTCAGTGAATTTGTAATTAAGGTGGGGCATCAAACCATCCGCAAATGAGAAAATTATATAAAATAAGTAGATACATAAATAATAAAGCACAAACTGCCTACTGAGTGCTGGCTAAGGGAATGTGAAATCCAGCTCAGATGAGAACAGAATGAGGTTAGCGAGGCCAGGGTTCCAAGGAAATACAAGCAGGTGTCTATGCTGGAGAGCATTTTGTCTCCATACATCCACATGTGGAGTGCAGAAAGAGTAACTATAAATTTAGAATGATCTGAAATTTCCATGTAGGTAAAGAGACCTTTTGGGGAGTGGGGAATTTTTGTTTTCTGATGAGTCTCCATGAATAATAAAGGAACCGGGAGATAGGAATATGGGGCAATACAAGCAGGAGCCAGCATGAGCAAAGGTACAGATGGGAAGTGTGCTTGCATGCAGGACCGGCAGGGTGGGAAAGGCAGGTCTTTCGGGGGAAAGCCAGCAGTGAATTTGGTTGAATTGCTTAGAACCCCCACTTAACAAACCCTCAGACCTCCTCTCTGTCTTTGTAGAAAGATGCAACAATGTTCACTTCCACCTGCCCTACCGGTGGCAGATGTCAATTGCAAACACCTGGACAGACCTCCAGCCCATGGAGAATATTGAGAAGGCCTACTGTGACCCCAAAATCATCTTGTAAGTTGGTGGCTGGACTCTGGCTTGTGAGATCCACGGCATCATCAAAGGAAAGCATAGTACCAGGCTTATGTAAAGGAGAAAAAACAGTTTTCCTTCAGAATCCTGTTCAAGTTTGAGATAACTCTTGAGATAAGTGGCAAATGCCTGCTGAGTTAACGAAGAAAAAACATAAGCCAAGGGGCCGGCCCAGTGGTGTAGCAGTTAAGTTTGTGTGCTTTGCTAAGGTGGCCGGGGGTTCACCAGTTCGGATGCCCGGTGCTGACTTACGCACCACTTATCAAGCCACTCTGCGGCAGGCGTCCCACATATAAAGTAGAGGAAGATGGGCACGGATGTTAGCTCAGGGCCAGTCTTCCAAAAAGAGGAGGATTGGTGGCAGATGTTAGCTCAGGGCTAATCTTCCTTAAAAAAAAAAAAGAAAAGAAAAGAAAAGAAAAAACAAAAGCCTGGTAGATTTTCAGTCACTCAGAGCCTGGCTAATACTAGGGATTCTGGGAATATTTGCTAACTCAAGTGAGGTAAACAGCGACACAATTATTTGTTTAGTTAATATTTGTCAATGTGTCCTGCAGAAAAACACAATGCAGAGGTCGGTGTGTGTTCCGATCCCCTCATCGTAGGATTATTAAACATGCTAAATGATTAACTCAAAAGAGCTTTTGGCTTAATTTCACAATTTTAGGACATGGTTTGAGTAATTTCATATAGTCTAGTGCAGAATTTTGTTGTACAGTTGAGCATTTTACACCTGCCTTCATGTTAACTGATTTCTCTCTCCTGGAGCTATCCAAGAGGAGACTTTCTGTTTCTGTTTCTGTCAGGGCTAAAATGGGTGATCCTCCACACGGCTGTGTTTATAAGATGCATACTAGTTTTATAAGAAAATTCTCTAGGGGGAAAAATTACATACATTTCATCGTCTGCCAATTTAGTGATTTTGGGGTGGAGATTCTGTGTGGCTGCATTTTACCACTAGAGGGAGGCATCAGCTATTTTCCCATTTCTAGGTGTATTTTTTTTCCCTGCTAGGTAAACCTGAAGTAGGGTTTCTCAATCTTAGCATTACTGACGTTTTGGGCCAAATAATGATTTGTTTGGGGGGGGGGGTACGCTCTGTTTAGCAGCATTCTTGCCCTCTGTCTACTAGATGCTAGTTGTGGTAACCAAAGATGCCTTTAGTCACTGTCCGATGTTCCCTGGGTGGGTAGCGGGGGCAACATTGTTCCGGCCTGAGAACCACTGATCTATGAGGTCCTCATTAGAGCAGGAATCCTCAGACTTTTTGGTCTCAGGACCTCAGTTTACATGCACTCTTAAAATGTACTGAGGATCCCAAAGAGCTTCTTTTTATATGGATTGTAGCTACCATCCATATTTACCACGTTAAAAATAAAAACTGAGAAAAATTAAGTATTTATTGATTCATTTAAAAATAACAATACAGTCATGCATCGCTAATGACAGCAATACATTTTGAGAAATGCGTTTTTAGGCAATTTTGGCATTGTGCAAACATCATAGAGTGTACTCACACAAACCTAGATGGTATAGCCCACTACACACCCAGGTATGTGGTGCTAATCTTATGGGACCCCACTGCATATGCAGTTCGTCATTGACCGAAACGTTCTTATGTGGCACATGACTGTAAACTCATTACGCTAATGTAAATAACATTTTTATATAACTATATTTATATAACATATAGTTATATGCGTATAACTGTATATATGAATAACTATCAAAATAACTTTTCCAAAACAAAACAAAAAATTCATTGAGAGGAATGACACTGTTTTATATTTCTGCGAATCTCTTTAATCTATTGTGAAATCACACATCCTGTAGCCTCTGGAAAACTCCATTGTATACCTGTGAGAGAATGAAAATAAAAAGGTCAATTAATGTCTTAATATTATTATGAAAATAACTTTGACCTTGCTGGCTCCCTGAAAAGGTCTTGGACCACACTTTGACAACTATTTAAACAACAATAATTGAAAAAACTGACCTCCTATGAGTTTCTAACTCACTTTTTGACGTTGAGCTCATCAATTGTTTTGTGGGCACAGTTTTATTTGGGGATATTTTTTGAAGGAAGGACACTTTTTGTGACACCATTAAAAATGTAGGGTAGGGGCCAGCCCTGTGGCCGTGTAGTTAAGTTCGAGAGCTCCACTTCGGTGGCCCCGGGTTTCATCGGTTCGGATCCTGGGTGCAGACATGGGACTGCTCTTCAAGCCATGCTGAGGCGGCATCCCACATGCCACACCCAGAAGGACCCACAACTAAAAATAAATACAGAACTATGTGCTGGGGGGCTTTGGGGAGAAAAAGGAAAAATAAAATCTTTTAAAAAAAAATGTAGGGTAGGCAAGTTACGTTCCCTCTCTGTATTTCACAGTTTTTTCTTTTATGTGTAAGACCTGGAGCTGTATAAAGAAAATTTGAAGATCTCTTCCAGCTCTAAAGTTTTAATTCTGTGCTCTTGTTAGGGAGGACCAGGGTATAGAAAGCAGTGGTCAAGGAAGCATTTTGTTAACTTTAAACTTTTCCCTCTTAGCATTTCTATTGGAAATCATAGAGTCAATTTCCAGAAAATGACTTGTGATTTTAATCCCATCCGACGTATCTCCACGCCTTCATCTGTCATGATGCCAGCCAACTGTGTCTTCGCCACAAAATGGATTTGGTACTGGAGGAATGAATCTGACAAATGGGTTCAATACGGGGAGAAGGTGAGTACTCTTCCTCCTTGTGGAGGCTCTCATTTAAACTTGCCAACTTCAGAAAAAAACTGTTAATAAAATGTTTGCTGCCTATGTGCTTACCCGTGGAGAGTGCATGGAGTAGAGGAAATGGTGCTTTTTTACTTTATACACAGCAGTATTTGCATTTTTTTAGCAAGCATGTACTCTGATTATAATCTTAAACAAAAACTTACATTAATTATTCTTAAGGAACTCCTTGAGACATGACTGAAGTGGAACCTTGACATAGCTTTCCATGTATCAGTACAGTCATGTGTTGCTTAATGATGGGGATATGTTCTGAGAACTGCGTCGTCAGGCGATTTTGTCATTATGCGAACATCATAGAGTCTACTGAACAGGAACAAAATTTGCCACCCCAAAATACGTCTCTTTAACACGATTATTTTAGGCTGTTTATTTTTAAGAAACATAAGACTCAGAATGTTTTTGTTATCTCTCCCTTCACTGCTTAAAAGGATTCAGATAAAGAAAACCTGTCTTGGGAAGCAAGCTATCACCTTAGCATGACATGAGCCAGGTAGTAGACAGGGAGGAACCTAGAAAACCCAGTTTGTTGGGCTCCCCTCTGTGTTCTTCTGTTTCTGTGTGGCTAAATAAACACTTGTTTTCCAAATGTTTTCTCTTTTTCTCCTACCTGTGAATTACTGTCCTTCCCTTTGAAGTCCCTGACTCTCCCCACCCCCAACATCTTTTGTGTTTAGCTGAGGATAATATTTAAGGTGAGGGCTTTGGCCATCTTGGCAAATTACTCAGTTTTCCTGGGTTTCTCCCATGTATACATGTTATTAAACTTTTGTTTGTTTTTCTCCTGTTAATGTATCTCATGTCAATTTAATTCTTAGATCAGCCAGAAGAACCTAGAAAGGCAGAGGATAATTTCTTCCTCCTCTATGGTAGCTATACAAACCTAGACGGTCTAGCCTACTACACACCTCGGCTATACGGTACTAATCTTTGGGACCACCGTTGTCTATGCGGTTCGTCACTGACTGCAGTGTCATTATGCAGTGCATGACTGTACATAAATGTACAGAGACTCCTGCTTCCAGCCAGAGAAGAAGGCAAGAATGAGAAGTCAGAAGACTGATGTAGATGGTCACTAGGATTCAGTCAGAGTCTGGATTCAGATGCCCTTGAAAGACTGGAACTAGAAGATTCTAGGCTCACCCACACAGGGACATAGTAATAGAGGATAGAAGTCTAGATAAGCAGAGCTTCTGTCTAGTGTCCCTTCCTCCCTTTGATTCATGGGATTAAAGAGAGAGAGTGCCCTTAAGTAGATAATGAAATCAGAGTGTTGAGAAAGAGATTAACATGAAGAAGACAAGCCAGGGACATGGAATGCCAGCATGAGGTTCCATGCAGTTAGAAATCAATGGGATAGAAATTTATCTCCGAGCTGCCTAGTTGCCAAAGCAAACAAAGAAAACAGTCTATAACAAGATCTCCAGTGCCTCTGTGGGAAGAAGACAAAATTTACTCAGGAGAAGCACCACTTTTTCCTGTTAGAGAGGCCTGAGAAAACCATCTCCTATGGGACCACATAGAGGGGCCCGTGTATGCTGTGGTGAGCGAGGTCCTCAACAGCAGTCCTACCGTCGCGACAGTAGCACAGTGGTTTCCCAACTGTCTTAGCAACGGAGACATGTTATCAAACGATCTTTCACAGAATCTAAATGAGCAGATTCGGGTAAAGCAGAGCTGCCCTGTGGAAATAGGGTAGGGGCTCAGAGTCCAGTCTCTTGGTCCCTTTCCTCTTGGCTTTCTTCTCTCCCGCCGTGGCCTGTGGAGCCCCTCGGTGTGAAGGCTCCTGTGATGTTAAGCTTTGTACAGGTTCTTTTACGTTCAAGACAAGGATGTTGTCAAAGTGCAGTTCTATAAAAGTGACTCTGCGAGGTGTCTGTGGAAATAGAAATTATAAACTCAAATTGATTAGCCTTGGTTAAAATAAAAATAAACTATAGGTCTTGGTTCTTATGTCAAATACCTGCAATTTTCAGTAAGATAAGGAAAAAAGCTTGGAAAACATTTGCATTCTAGTGACATCAGGGTCCCAGAGACCAAAGAGAACTCTGAGTGGGGACTAGATGATATTTAAATTTACACAAGTTCCGTCACTTATGTTCCCTAGTAAAAACATCGGGAAACTTCCTGATAAAACTTCTTTAATGCAAAGTTCTCCCTTGGGACATTCAGTCTTTGTTAAACGCAAAATTCTAGACTGTATCTTTCAACCTGCAAACACATAAAATGTTGTTTTCATTTAATCTGCGGCGTGTGTCTATTATAAGAAATATTCTTGAAGATGTGAATAAACGCTGGCTGTTTCATATTAATTAGACCCATCATTCTATAAATTGATTTGGCTCTTGAGCTATTTAAAAAAAAAAAAGAAAGCAGAGGAAAAACAGACTCTAAGTTTAGGGTTTTCATTGCTGGCTATTCAAGCAAAATAAAAATGATGGTTCCAGGAGATGTGAGCCACCATCGTAACGAGCAGCCTGGTCTCCTTCACGGTTCCATGTGTTGTGGTCCATGTTTTCAGCTCTTCGGTGGCCTGGTTTGATCCAGTGTATAGGTTAGAATATTTAGAGAAAAGAGGCGACTGTATGGCCTTCAGAGAGGACCCTACAGGTTTTATTTCCTGTAACTGAATTTTTAATAAGAGTTAGGCAACTGAGCTTTCCAGGTTAGGAACCTCCCTATTAGGAACTAGGAGAACAGAAACTTTTACCAACAAAAGGTAGGTGCATATGCTTTGACAGTGAACTCTCTGGAAGGTAGAATTGATATACGGGAATTAAGGTGCTTAGCCAGGACCAGTATCTACATAGACGGTAGACACGGAGAGGACGTGGGCCTGGGAGAGGTGATAATTAAACAGCTGGGCAGTCAGGCAGCAGTGGGGCAGGACGGAGCCTGGTAGTCATGGGGTTTGCATCTGGCAGGCGGTGCAGCTCCAGACCCTTGGAGATGTTTACCAGCAGGTAGCGAAGCTCAGCAGCGGTGAAAGCTGGGGTCCAGGGGCGGGAGACCATGGCCTGAGAGAATTGCCCAAGGCAAGGGCAAGCCACAGCTCTAGAAAGCCGAGATCAAGGCAGTCACGTAGGCACAGGACGAAAGCCAAGCCCTGGTTGCTGAAACAGACATAAATTCAAGTCTTCTGGGAGGATAAAGGATTGAAGGCTCTGCCATTCATTTGTCCACTCAGAACTGGAGTCCAGTGTGAAGGCAGGGCCAGAGGAAGGCCTGAGTGAACTATGCTAGGCTGTCCGGATGCTCAGACACTGATTTAATGGCCTCGTTCTGTTCAGTCTGACAGCAGCTAGCCACATGTGACTATTTAATTTTAAGCTTAATTTAATTTAAATAAAATTAAGAATTCAGTTCCATGGTTGCACTAGTCACACTTTAAGTGCTCTGTGGTCATATATAGCTAGTGGCTACTATATAGGACAACACAGAGAACATTTCCATCATCACAGAAAGTTCTAGTGAATCGCAGTGGTCTAGACCCTGGAGCCTTGCTAGGCAAAGTCAGGTCCACAGACGAGCCGCATCAGCATCACCCGGGAGCTGTTCAAAATGCAGAATCTAAAACTCTTCCCCTGAATCATAGTCTGCATTTTAACAAGATGCCTGGGGGATTCACGCTCCTGTTAAAAGTTTGAAGGCTCTGGCCTTTGTAGATTCTTTCCAGCCGGGAACAGGGTTCTGCAGAGCTGAGCAGGCAGTTGATGGATACGAGGCTTCAGCTGCGGGAACGGGAGATGAGGGCAGAGATTTGAGTCGTCAAACTGGGGTGCCTCACCCCACCCTGTGCTCGCAGGGGTTTGCCCACTTTAGCTGCTCCTTGGGGTCTGAGGAAGGTGTATGGTTTACCAGCACATCATCTGATCATGGAAACAGTTTCCCACTGCCCACGCCAGAGGGCAGTCTCTTTTACAATCATGCTGACAGATAGTGTCCCAGCCGCTGTTGCAACAGTCTTCGTATTGTGACTTAATTGTTGGATGCTGTAATTCAGAAAGTTCTGCTAAAGATGGCCCTCTGGTCCCTTCCTCCCATTTGTCCTGGTTCTACCTCCTGAAATCTTCAAGTTTATCCCCACTTTGCACTGTGCGCAAATATTCGAGTCCAGCTTTCCTGCCCCCACCATGTTCCTCTCTAGGCTAAAGGGACCTGGTTCAGGCTCTTCTCCACCCAGGGCCGTTTCCTTGGATGCTTTCGTTCTGGTGCCCTCCCCTTACATCCAGCAGGCATTTCCATTAGGGGGATGGGGTAGGGGCTGGGGGGGCGGTGTAGCTGAAAGCTGCAGAGTCTGGAATGTCATTAAAGGGACTGGGAGCCCCCTCCCACCACCAGCTGCCAGCAGGATTTTTTGTCATTAGCTCCTCCATTCTAGATCACAAGGAACAAGTATCTCCTCACCATTAATATTGGGAACCCATGCCGTTAGGGGCTTACATCCTGTCTGCCCTGGTCTGCACCCCTGCCATAGGATGGGGACAGTGGAATGGTGGCCTAGCCGGCCCCCTGGCTAGAATCAATAGACTTCCCTTTACCCACCCATTCTAATGTTCAGACCCTTCATATAGGCCTTGAGACCAGAGGTTCTATCTTTTCATTTGGGGATGTTCTTCCCCCCTTTCATTTTAGCCCCAGTCGGTGCAAATCCAGGTGCTTTTTCCATGTTGTTGACTGAGTGGAGGCTCGGTTAATTTTATTTGCTGGCTCAGGGCAGAGGAGAAGGAGTAGGTCCCTTACGTTCGGATAGCAGGACACCTGTTGGCGCCTCACCTGCCTTCACCGCAGCTCTCAACTGTGCTTTCTCGTCAGGTGATAGGTGAAGAGAGCTGTGTGTTCTGTTTCATGCTGGAGTGTTGGATTCTGTTAGATAGCCAGTGTGGACATGATGTCTGTGCCATGGGTACAAGTGATCTGTACACTTGGGTCATATTTATGGAAGGTGTGAAGAGACTATTGCAAAGAGCTCTATTTTTCAGGCATCCGCCAAGCGTATGGTCAGTTTCTGCAGGAGACTGCTCTCTCCTAGCCCGGTGATGAAGAAGATGACAAAAGGCTGTGGGGTGACTCCAACCTGGAAGCCTGTACAATCTGGTTTGGGAGGCCAGATGTGTTTCTGTTCAAATGCCATGGCTGAAATAAAATTATATAAGATACAATGGTAGGGATTTCTTAAAAACCTCCCTTGAAGTCGTTACCTTTTTTTTTTCTTTCTGTAATTAGACAGACAATCAGGAAAGTTCGAGCATCGACTCTTCATACCTGGAGTCTTTCTTTCTCTGCTGTCCCAGAGGAGTGGTGCCGTTTCAGGCGGGTTCACGGAACTACGAGCTGAGTTTCCAAGGTAAGTTTTGCTTGGTTTGAATCCAGCACGCGATGTACTTGCGGGAATGGGAGCAGAGCAGATGTGTAAGCTACCCCCAGAATCAGGGTTCTTTTTAGCAAGGCAAGCAGTTCGGTGGTGTGGAAGCCAGTGGTGATCAGAAGACCCGTGCTCTAGAGCTTCGGCTCGGACACACAGTAGCTGTGCAACCCTGGGAACAGCACCCGGCCTCTCTAGGCCTCAGTTCCTTTGTCTGTAAAATGGGGGGACTGGACTAAGTGGTCTGTGGGGGTATGTCCAGCTCTGCTGTTCTAAGTTGCTGATTCTGGGTGGGCTGCTTCCCAGGCTGAGGCAGGATTTCCAGGTGCTGATGACTGCAACAGAGACCCCGGGCCTGTGGGTGCCTTCAGAATTTTAGAACTTTGCTGTTTCTTTTGGGCTTCATCATAGGTCAATGGTTTTATCCATCACATTGACCAAAGACTTTGCCTTCTGCCATGTTCATCTGAGCCACCATGGGAAAATCTTCTGGTTAGCTTCTACCAATCTGTCTGCTGTATTTAGTAAGAAATCAGGGTGGGAACTGCCCTCCCTCTGAATGTACCATCCCGTCAGCTATACCCCAGGATGCTCCCTGAATATGGTCAGATACTCGCCCTTTCAGGATCAGCTCTGTGAGTCTTTGGAAGTACTCATGTCCTTTACATTCCCAGGTGGCATCTGAGATTTGAGCCCTGTACCAATTACTGTGTTAAGTAACGTAGCTTTGAAGGACCATTATACTATTTTGGAAAGCAACCTGGTAATACATATCAAGAGTTATTAAAATATGATTTTTTTTTGAGGAAGATTAGCCCTGAGCTAAGATCTGCCACCAATCCTCCTCTTTTTGCTGAGGAAGACTGGCCCTGAGCTAACATCCGTGCCCATCTTCCTCTACTTTATATATGGGATGCCACCACAGCATGGCTTGACAAGCAGTGCGTAGGTCCTTACCCAGGATCCGAACCGGCAGACCCCGGACTGCCAAAGTGGAACATGCGAACTTAACCACTGCGCCACTGGGCAAGCCCCAAAATATAATTATTTTTTCATCCTCTCAGGAATAAGAAGAAAAAAAAGCTATGGGCATGAAGATATTTATTGCAGCCTTGTCTAGAGTACTTAAATAGAGGAATATTCTGTGGACCAGTAAGGTAGTGACTAAACAAATTAGGGTCTTAAATTTCAGAGGAGTATTGAGTAGTTGTTAAAAATTATGGTTATGAAAACAATATAGTGAAAGTGAAATTTGATATTATTAAATGAAAAAATCAGAACCCCAAATTTAAGTTTCTGAACTTTTCTGTTTGTGTTATCTTTAAAATGGAAAAGATTTTTAAAAAAATTTAATGTGCCTGAGAAGTGCAACAATGTATGCATGTGGACCAAGAATTCAAGGCAATAGAGAAGAATAAAAATCTCTTCTGTTGGGTGGTGAAATTAAAAATGACTTAAATTAAAACATTTTTTTCTTTGGTATTCTATTGTTTTGACAATTTTAAAGGGTGATGGAGAGATGAGAAGCAATGTACCTTGTTTATTTTGACCAATAATTTTGTTCACCTGGTTCATAGAAACTAGTTCAGAGCAGTTTGCAGTGTTCCAGACAATTTTTTTCTATTTCCTGTATTCTCTCATTCATTAAACTAGTATTGGCGTGCCAGCTGTGTGTCAGGCACTGTTCTAGGTGCTGGCAAACCAGGCAATTTCAGAAACTGATGACAGCTATGGGGCAAGGTGATGAAGCAGCGAGAGAATGGAGGAGTCATGGGAGAGCACCTACTGTTATCTGAGGGAGAAACTTTGGGAGACAGGGCGCAGCCCACGCACATGGGAAGGAGGGCGCTCCAGGAGAGGGCAGAGCTAGCGCCAAGGCTGTGGGCAGCACACAGGCTTGAGGTTTCAAAGAACAATAAGAAGGTCTGTAAGAGATGAGAGCAGAGATAAAAAGCTGGATATTTATAAGCTGGAAACCACAAGGTTTTGAGCGGAGTCGTGGCATGGTCTGATTTGTTCTTTTTGTTGTTGTTTATTTTGTTTTGTTTTACAACAACTACAGTGAGGCATAATTGCTACACTAAGATACAGCCGTTCTAAGTGTACAGTTGGATGAGGCTGACAAATGCATGCGACTACTATCCTAATCAAGATACAGAACATTCCCATCAATCCAAAAAGCTTCCTCATGCCCATTTGCAGTCAGTCTCCCCCACCCCAACTGATTTGCTTTCAGTCATTACAGATTAGTTTTATCTATTGTAGAACTTCATATAAACAGAATCTTGCAGTATGTGCTCTGCATATGGCTGACTTCTTTCACTCAGAATAACGTTTTCTAGATTCATCTATGTTGTTGCACGTGTGGTGGTTCTTCCATTTTCGTTGCTGAGTAATATTCCATTGTAAGGATATCCTGTGGTTTGTTTATCCATTCACCTGTTGATGGATATTCGGGTTTTCAGTTTTTCGTTATTGTATATTAATGCTTCTAGGAACATTCAAATGCAAGTCCTTGTGTGGCTATGGGTTTTCATTTCTCTTGGGTAAATAGCAAGGAGTAGGATTGCTGAATCACATAGGCAGTGTGTATTTAACTTCATAAGAAACTGCTAAACTATTTTCCAAAGTGGTTGTGCCATTTTACGTTCTCACTAGCATGTATGATGATTTACTTTTTAAAGAAATCACTCTGGCTGCAGCTTGGACAGAAGTCTACAACATGCATGAATTGAAAGTGACATTTCACACTTAATATAGAAAAAAACTTTGGGGGCCGGCCTGGTGGCACAGCGGTTAAGTTCACACGTTCTGCTTCTTGGCGGCCCAGGGTTCACTGGTTTGGATCCTGGATGTGGACATGGCACCGCTTGGCAAAAGCCATGCTGTGGCAGGCGTCCCACATATAAAGTAGAGGAAGATGGTCACGGATGTTAGCTCAGGGCCAGCCTTCCTCAGCAAAAAGAGGAGGATTGGCAGTAGTTAGCTCAGGGCTAATCTTCCTCAAAAAAAAAAGAAAAAACTTTGAAGATGTAGCTACCACATTCCAACTGTAATCACTGATGCCTGGTTTCGGGCAGCTCACATGGATGGTGTCTTGTTATCTGGCTGCCCCAGCCCTCCTCTTTACCGTCTGACTTTGATTTCCAGATTAGACTAATTGCAGACTGTTCATTTACCTTTTTGTTTGCTGGGTCTTATAATAAGGGCAGTTGAAGGATTCAAGTTTTTATCATGAGCAATTTCCATCCAGAAGGATTTTCTCTGTTCATACATGTACACTTCAGTCATGAATATTTGCTGTGTTACTAGCTTCTGAAAAATAACAGTAAGTCATTTTCTGGGACTAATTCTTGATTCTTGTTTGTTTTCTTTTTTCCGTCTAAAGGGATGATTCAGACAAACACAGCTTCCAAGACCCAAAAGGATGTTGTCAGAAGGCCGGCGTTTGTCTCTCACCGGGATGTGGAGCGGATTAAAAGTGGGCTAGAGTAAGTGTTCTGAGGCACTGCTTGCTGGCAGATGTTTGAGATGTTCATGCATTGATCTCATCGAGTGGCTCATGGATCTGGATCCTGTTTTCTTGAAATGTTCCTGCTTGTGTGACAGTGCAGTTTCCTTTTGCATTATCTATGAGTAAGGTACTTATTAAGCAGCACAGTGTGACTGCAAGAATTCTAGAGCAGGAAATCTGGCTTTTCCTCTAACTCCCAGGGGACTTGGGGCAAGTTTCTTAAATACCCTGGGCCTCAGCTTCTTCCACTGTGAGTGGCTGGCTTAATGGAGTTTCTTTGGAAAATAATCAAATGTACAGTTGCTGGGTTTTAGTTTTGCTGTGGGTTCTTCTGTGTATCTTTAGTTTTGCTGAGTGGCTTTCTAGAGGGTGGAGGTTGAGAAAGAGATGGAGAGAAACAAGGGACGAGGTAGCTGGCCGAGCAAGGGCTTTGGAGAAAGATAAAGTGGATGGAAGGGGGTTTGTAAAGGAAATTTTGCTGTGGGGGATTCACTGTAACTCTCCTGTGTCTGCTCATGAAACTCAGTAAAATCTACTTTGTTCGTGAACATTTTTGGAGTTGGATTTTTTTTTCTGGGTGATGTGTGGTTACGTAAAACAGACTTCAAGACAGGTGCAACATCAAGGTGTTCTAATTAGCTTCTTTCAGTTGTAAGAATTAAGGTATTTCATGAGAAAGGGAAGTTACTAAAAGGATGAACGTGGTGTCATAAGGAAAACAACATTTTGTAAGAAGCCAAGGACGGGAACTGAGCTCTCTCAGGGCCCCAGGAATGGGCGTCGGTTCCAATTCTGCTTCAGAGCCTGAGCAACCTGGGGTCTTGGATCTTTACCTGTGACCAGGTTCACGGCCCAGACTCTGGATCTGCATCCCTACTTCAGATTCTGCCTGCTACTCATTAGCTGTGTGGATTTGGACAAATGAATCACTCTGCAACCCCTCATCTATAAAATGGGCCAGGGGCTGGCCCCGTGGCCTACTGGTTAAGTTGAATGCCCTCTGCTTCAGCGGCCTGGGTTTTGTCCCCAGGTGTGGACCTACACCAATTGTCAGCGGTCATGCTGTGGCAGTGACCCACATACAAAATAGAGCAAGATTGGCACAGATGTTAGCTAGGGGCAAATCTTCCTCAGCAAAATAAAATAAAATAAAATAAGATGGACTTAATACTGGCACATTCATCAAGGTTGCTTGATGAATACATTCAAGACCCTTGGAAGAGTGGCCAGCACATCAGGGTGTTCAGTAAACGTTAGCAGCTTTTCTTCTTATTTTTATTCTCCTGCTATTAATAGACTCAGTGACCATATCTATATCTATACCTATATATCTGTATCTACAGATCTCCTAATACTTTGGCTAACGCTTGACAGTTTTAACCTCAGAATTCCAATCTTCGTATCCATTCAGCATTACCTCCTGCCATTACTGCCTAATTTTCTCTGAATTCCTTAATTCAAACTCCCTAGAATTAACCAGATTGGCTTAGCCATCTAAGATCCCTTCCAGTCCTTTTAATATTCAGATTAATAAAGTAAACGTATGGCTGGGTTGGGGGGTCAAGTTCATGCCCCATGGAGCTTACATCCTGGTGGATGAGACAATCTGAGTAACTGTTTCAGTTAGTGCTAAGTGTTAGGTGAGGGGGAAAGGCAGAGCAGGAGGACGGGATGGGGGTACCATTTTCACTGAGGCAACTAACGAGATCATTGTAGCTACTTATTCATTCAAATGATTCTGGCAGAATGTCTCAACAAAATTTTGTTTAAACTGCGTTTCCTTAAAGCAACCTGTAATTCTGACTTTTTAATAATTCTTATACTCCCATTGAGTCTTAACCAGTGAGCCCATACTTTGTTGCTTTGCTGGACAGCAGAAACTGTCCAGACTGTGTACCTTCTTGACTTTGAGCTGGATGGTTCTTTCTGTGCACATATATTTACAAAGGAAGAAATTGGTTTGTGGCATTTCCAAATATCTCATGGAGTCAGTCCATTGTCACAATAATTTACATATGTCACAGTTGGCTTATGCTTTTCCATTTGCTCTGCCCCTTCTCCAGGAACATTCTTCCCCACCACTCCTATGAATCCGGCATCTTTCGTGGCCCAGCTCAAATGCCACTTTTCCCATACAAACCTTCCTTGAGACTGTCCTCCAATCCTCTCCTTAGTCCTCCAGTAACACTTTGTAAGTCTCTTATGGTACTTACCCCATTCCACCTTGTAATACAGTATTTGTGTAACCATCTTCCCTAGGACAGCCCTCCACCCACTTCCCTCCCTTCCACAATTATCAGCTCCTCAAAGCTTTTGAAATGTTTTGCATGATGAATGGTATCGAGTCATACTAAATAGGTAGATAAGTGAGTAAATGAATAAAATGAACTGAGAAACCATGGTAGTGGGAGGTCATGATGAAAACCAGCTTTAAGCCTGCTCTTACTAGCCCAGAGGAAACCCACTGGCTTTCAGATGGAGTAAGAGCCGTGAGTATACGCTGGGCAGTCTGAAGAGAAAGGAACTATAGCATACTTCACTGTTGGTGGGCACCTTAACACGTATTAATTTAATCTGCTCTGCACTATACACATCCAGTATGGAAATCTGAGCTTAAAATACAGATAAATTGCGGCCAATCTCTCTCATTCCAAAAGAATTTTCATTTTACAAAAGAGGGTCTTTAAAGAGTTTTTTCCTTAAAGCATTTTTTAAATTTAATTTTTTCATTATGGAAAATTTCAAACTTAAACAAACTAGAGAAAATTGTACAACAAACCCTTATGTACTTGTTAGTTGGGGGGGGTCATGTAGAGAACCCCAAAATGTATGGTTACCCTGAAATATAGTTCATACAGAAAAGACAGGATTCTTTCCCCGTACCCCTAATATACTCAAATGTTTATCATTTGACAAAGAAGTGTAAGACAGGGGCCGGCCCCGTGGCCGAGTGGTTAAGTTCGTGCACTCCACTTCGGCAGCCCAGGGTGTTGCCAGTTTTGATCCTGGGCACAGACTTGGCACTGCTCATCAAGCCATGCTGAGGCAGCATCCCACATACCACAACTAGAAGGACCCACAACTGAAATATACAACTATGTACCAGGGGGTTTTGGGGAGAAAAAGGAAAAATAAAATCTTTAAAAAAAAAAGTGTAAGACATACTTAATGCTAACATATTAGGACTTTGAAGGTTGAACATAAATATCAAAAAGAATCAATGCTTTTACATTTTATAAGTGAATGGGAAAATAGCATTTAATTAGTTTGCCTTAGTATGAATAATTACTGTGTTTTATAAAAGCATGATTACTGGTACATCTATACCAGGAATATGCAGGGATGTAGTCCAAAGAAAAATTCCAAGAAAAAATTCTCTGAGAAATCTTGGCTCAGTGGCTGGAAGTTAAGGACAGAAAGTCACTTGGGCACATGGACCAGGGAGCCAAGTGAATTCTTACTCTCTCTTATTTGTAGCCACCAACTGGCGCAGACCCGATCAGAGTCTTTAACCTCAACATCTCTTCATCAGTCGGACATGGGTTTCCCACCCTTGAATGGATATGAGGTACTTGCTTTTTACTTTTTTGGTGGGTGAATTGTTTAAAGGTGGGAAAAAAATACTTCACTACAAAGTAGTGTATTTGAGTGAATGAATGAATGAATTGCTTCCGCAAAACTCTTGAATCAAGATTCAAAGGCAGACATCTAAATGGTGATCGTGTCACTTTCCCAGAGAACAACTACTCTCAACAGGGCACCTCATTGTTTCCAGAGTCCAGCCACACGTGATCCTCACAACAACCCTGTGAGATCTATATTAGATTCTCTACTTACAGACGAGAAAAGTGGAACTCAGAGACTTGTCCATTAATTGGAGTTAAAAAAGCAGATTTCTATGGGAGTCAAACAAATTGTGGTTCACCTCGTCACCTGGCCTGGTTGGGGCGAGACTTCCTAAGTGGTTTAGCTTCCGCGTCGTGCTCTAGCTTTGGGGGCAGGCCGCTCTGCTTGGGCTCCTTGGGCACGTTCCAGTGCTTCTGCCCCTGCACTGGCTTTGTGCAAGGAGCTCGCTGGGTCACACCTTGGGGGACCTGCCTTTCCCTTTAGGCAAAATGCTTTGTTTGCCTTTCCTCGGCCTGAACAGATGGGACCAGTGCCATCTAGTTCATTACTGGAATGAACTGCCAGGTGTACATGCTCTAAACCAGCTTATTCCACCTGCTGTCGGAGGCCTGGTGAGGATACTCCATAGCATAGGGGGCCACACATGTGGAAAGCTCATGCTTTTAATGTTTTCTGTTTCACATTTCTATATTTTACAATTTTTTTAGTTGTTTGAGATTCATAACCAGTATCCAGAATATGCCAAAATAAGTGAGCTTTTTAAAGCTTCCATGAAAAATTTCAAGATTGAAAAGATAAAGAAGATTCAGAATACAAAGCTCTGGAATACTTTTGAAAGGTTGGTGGCCACATTATCAAGTGTCTTTACGTAAAGTTTGAAAGGATTACTTAAGAGCTATCCTTTAACATCTTTATGCACTGGTTTATTTTAATAGTCAACAGTTTCTTCAATCTGTGGTTGTTTTTATTATGTAAACTCGAGCTTCTCTCTTTCAGCTTTAGTTTTACAATTCAACGATTTCACATGTCTGTCATTTAAAAGTTTTGATAAATTTATTCTTTTACACCTGTTGCCTTAACGTTAGCAGCTCCATTCTGAAAGCTGGTGGAATAAAATTTTAAGACGGTTAGACTTTAGTTGGGATTAATGTTATTAGCCAGAGTGGGAGAGGAATGTTCTCAGCATTAAGTCTCACATTTCCTCCATTAGGAAAAAAATGAAGATGAATAGAAATGAAGAAATCCTGTTTTGTGCAACCGGCCGTGCGTACGTGGAGTCTATCTGTGCGAATAACTTTGACTGGATCTTACATGGAGCTCATGAAACCAAATATGGACAAGGTTTGTGCTGGAATAGAGAAGCCTAACTAGTAGAGTCATAACGCAGATGCTACCCGTGCTTCTATTATGAGGTGTATGTGATTATTTTGTATCAGCCGGCATGTCCAGGCTTTCTGTCACGGAAACTTGCTCATAACATGAGCTCATGTTAACCTTAAATGCCCAAATTAGAGTGCTAAAGTGACTTGGGACCTGATTGCTGCACCTTAGCCCTGCTCCTGTTTTCTGGTTTTTTGGGGGGGAGTGACCAAAGAGTCCATGTATGCATGCAAACTTCTCCGCCTGTTGGCTACGTTGCCCACCATGACTACCCAGTTCTGGCTATGGCTCTTCCTGACCTATGTCCTTCCCTGTGAAGTCGTCTGAAGTTGCCTTCTGTTGCCACTGATGGGTTCTAATTACAGATGGGAGAAGAAGCCTCTCCCCATCTCAGACCATGCTGATTCACCTGAAGCGGCACAGGTCTACCCACACCTGAAATCTTTTCAGCTCTTTCTTTTTGCTCCTAAACTCCTTTATGCAACTCTTAAAAACAAACAAAAACCAGAGTCGCTCATCTTAAGGGAACAAGTAATAGTTTATCACAGGTTCAACGTGAACTCAACTCATATAACTAAGTTAAATTCACACACACCCCCAAAAAGCAAGAAGCCAATCAGTGAATATTTTTGAGTGCCTTCTGCACACTAGATGCTGGGGATGCAGTGGTGAACAAGTTAGACATGGCCCTCCCCAAATTGTTTCACATAATTAAGTGATTGCAAATACGTGGCTGCAGTGGATGAAAAGAACAGGCCCTGTGGACACCTAACCTGGCTGGAGAGGTGTTCCCAAGAAAAGGCACATAGTTCACCTGCCACGTAGAGTCATCGTGAAGAGTAAGGAACAAGTGGTGCAAGATATGGCCACACAGTAAAGAGTTCAGACTTGACCCTAAGGGCGTGGGAAGCTAATGAAAGGTTTTGAGCTGGGGAATGACTTGATGAGAATTTCATAAGTTTATTAAGTTCAAATGCATCACTAAAACTTACCTAGAAATGTCTGGAGAAAGCAAGGTAACCATCTTGAGTGAAATATGACATTGGTGAAATTTAAACCCTTCGGTTTCTCATGAGTCTCTCTTATGTCAGAGCTCAAATATTTATCCTAGAAAATGGAAATATGGTATACTATATATGTTCCCAGTTTTGGGCCATAACTGGCTCTGATAGTGACAGGTGCTTAGTCTGTTTCTCCTTTTTGAATAAACGGAACAGTACTGAAACCCTCTCAAAATATTTAGGTGGTTGAATAGTATTACTCACTTGCTATCATTTTTCCTTTAACTTGGTGAAGGGGGAGAGTTATTAACAGCCAAGAGAACATCCTTGTGCAGCATGGAAGAAAGAGGCAAGGATGTAGTCTGCAGTTCTCACAGACAGGCAAGGTGTTTCTCAAGGAACTTTGCCCTTTTTCCCAGGCCCCTCTCCCTTGTGAAGGTCAGGGAGTGATCCTGCTACTTGGCTTGTCTCCTGTTACACAGAATTAGGAGGTGTTTTTGTTTTGTTTGCATTTATTTTTAACGTTGGCTTTCCGTTCCCATCACCCACGATGCTGTTGGTACCGGCTAGATAGACTGATATGAACCACTGGGCCAATAATCCTAGAGGTCAGGCAGTAATCCTAAAAGAGGCCAAGTGGTAGATCTCAAAGATCCTGCTACTCTCTGAGGGAGAACAAAGCCCCCTGTTGCACGTGGGCAGCCACTCTGGTTAGGCTGTTATCTGTGAAATTTAGTGTGTGGCTGTGAAAGGGGAATTAGACATGCCTGCAAAGATAGAAGGGCTCTGGGCTCCACCTTGATAAACTGGAGGTGGAAACCAGGCCTCTAATGGGAGATGGAGGATAATGGTGGAAGACAGGTTAGTAAGAGAGTCCGTGAGAGCTGGGAAGTTGGGCCAGAACTTCTGGTCAGTCTGGACCGAGGATAAGAACTGCAGTGGTAGGTAAAAGCCACCCAACTTAACAGTCAGAGGAGATTATAAAAACTCAGATTTGGATTAGAAGTAGAAGCAAGGTGAAAATAGAAAAGGAAGCACATGTTTGGAGGCAGCTAAGCAAAGAAGGATCTGTCCTGGTACAGACTGGATGCCAGAGGCTAGATGGGAGGCATACAAGGCCAGGAAACGTATTTAGGATCCAGAGTGCAGCAGGCATCACAATAGCTATCAAATCTCCTAAGCTTCTGCAACCCAGGTGCCTCAAGATGCTAAGTGGGTGGAAAGGAAGAAACAAAAATGTTATTTTTGAAGATAATATGAGTGTCTATGTAGAAAACCCATAAGAATCCACAGAGAATTGGAATGTTGGTGTTCTACACAGGAAGTGGGTGGGACACTTGCTTTCCTCTGCTACTGGACTCCTCTGTCACCTCGGACTTCTAGCCACTCACTGCCCTCTTGGCCCAGGCCCAGGATGGTGGGGCTGAGGTCCCTGAAGGACTGAGTCAGAGCCAGCTTGTCTCTTTTTGACTCAACCTAGAGAGGGTTCCTTCCCCTGGTCTTATTCAGAGTTTTTTCTAGTTAACAAAGTCTGTTTTTTTGTAGTGCATTTCTAGATCCTATTTTGCAAATCAGAAGCTGACCATGATTTCTCCTTTTTCTTTATATATTACTTTCAATGATTCTAATTCTCTTTGAGGCAAAAAAAAAATGTGTCTGGCTAAATAAAAGATGGTTATGTATAAAGAATTGCAAAAAAATAAAGAAAAAAGCACAATGTTTTTGACAGTATTATCACATTACATCAATTATACTGAATGAAGGAAAAAAATGAATCAAAGTAGATTACAGAAAAGCAGCATATTGTGAAGTCTAAGTGTGACCTTTAGAGCAAACAAAAGCTAGCTAGGCAAAATAAAAAATAAAAAAAAGTTGGGAGAAGAGCGTTTATGAAGACGAGAAACTGACAAAGGCCGGGCAGGCTGTGGCCTGCATGGCACATTTAAGGTGTGGTGGGAATGACAAAAGCTGAGGCTGGAGCTGCAGGTTGGAGTTGGATCCTGGAAGACCTTGTAAGCCATGCTAAGTGGTGGGTTTTATTCCGAGAACAACCATGAACCAGCCAATGGCTTTAGGAAGGGATTGACATGATGACGCTGGCTGCGATGTGGCGAAAGAGTGGACAGGACCAAGACTGCAGGTGGAGAGAACAGCGAAGAGGTTGTTTCAAGAGCCCAGGCCAGGGGCCAGCCCAGTGGGGTAACACAGAATCTCGTGCGCTTGCTTTGGTGGTCCGGGGTCGCTGGTTTGGATCCCAGTGAGGACCTACACACCACTTTTCAAGCCATGCTGTGGCAGGCATCCCATATACAAAATAGAGGAAGATGGGCACAGATGTTAGTTCAGGGCCAATCTTCCTCAGCAAAAGAGGAGGATTGGCAGTAGATGTTAGCTCAGAGCTAATCTTCCTCCAAAAAAAAAAAAAAGAAAGAAAAGAATCCAGGCCAGAAATGAGGTTACCTAGATCTAGGTAGTAGCAGAAGGGATGAAGAGGATGTTGGGGTTCAGGAGAGATCTATTCTCTGTCAGGATTATTTGCAACAAGACAAAGTCCAGATCTTAGGAGAGTGGGCTGTAAAGTTGGGTGTTAGGGTTGGATCATTTAAGCAAATGTAGATTCTGGGTTATATAAGAGGATTATAGAAGCATGATTTAAAAACAACTGATGCTTCATTTAAAAAGTCAGTTGTTTAGGATAATAGTTAATTTTTTTCTGAATGGAGAATGATAAAGTTGCTTTCCAAAGATCTATAGTACCTGTATAAAGAATCATTTTCCATTGACTTCACAAGTCTTTCATTCCATTATCATTGATAAAAATTGAAAAATCAGTACTCAGACTTTCTTATAAAAAGAAAAAAAATTGACGAGTATAAAAGCAATCCAGTGCCATTAAAACAATGTACTACTATCTCAATGTTGAAAATGGGTTTTATGGCTTAATAAGCAATTAAAACGCACACTGAAGAAAAATATGGATGAAATTGGATGAATTTCCTGTCTATATGTTTAATTCCATTTGCTTTAAGTCAAACCTATTTTTACCAGTAACTCCATACTGTTTACTTTACACATTTTACATGCGTAACTGGAATTCACTTATCTGGAAATGTTAGCTTTCTGGAATGTAACTCAGAATTTGCAAGAGTGAACAACTGTGTTATGAGCAGCCCAAGCTGTTGTCATAAATTCCTATACTGAAGATCATGTATGTTTTTCCTTAGGAGCTCCTCAGAATCCATTTAGCCTTATTTCAGAAACAGTGTTTTTTTTTCTCAGCCCAGCAAGTGTGGAATGGGAGTAAAGAGATGCTAGGGGCAGGCAGCAAGAAGAAAGTTAGCTTTTAGGTGGGGAATGAGGGGAAGTGATCTGCAAGACACAAACGCAACATTTTTTTCTCCTGCTGGGGCCATTAGTTTAGGAGTAAATGGCTCTGTCCACCCTAGTAACTCAAGAGGGCATCCCTATGTTGTAACATTATGTATCAGAATTCATATCTACATCTGCTGTATCAGGAAAGGGTAAAATGAATTCGTTCTATTTAAAAAATGGACAGATATATATGCTTTAGAAAGGTTTCTTTCCAAAATTAGCTTCAATTGTTTAGAAGTTCTGGAACTTGGAAAAAAAAAGAATGGCTCTTTGCAGACACTTTAGAAATGAGGTAGATGAGTAGTGTGAATCAGAATATGTTGTGGGTCTCCGTCACAGTGAGAAATAAGTCAAATAAAGAAGGCACAGCCTCTCCCCCAAGCATGCTTGCAGAGGCTATGGCAGAGCAGTGTGGAATGCAGCTGTCATTGTCCATCTGTTAAAACTGAGGAGCTGGAACTAGCTAGAAAGGAGGGTCACTGGCAGAGACAGAGCTGGAGTGGGTGGCACAATAGAAGTGTGGTGGGTGGATGATTTTTGTTTGTGTCCTAGTCGTTTTCTAGCTATCTACTGGTCCACTTTATAAGATTGCAAAAAGATCCTGGTGGACGTACTGTCTCCTGAATAGAAGCTTGTTTTGGTCACACATCAGTAAGAAAAAGACAATACAACAGGAAAAAAAAAAAGATATGAAAAAGCAGTTCAGAGAAAAAGCATATGAAATATGCCAATAAGCATATGGAAAGATGTTCAATGTTATTAGTATTCAGGGAAATGCATGTTAAAACCATATAATTTTTTCTGCCTAGTATATTGACAGAAATTTAAAGGACAGATAATATCCAGTGTCGGCAAGGATGTGGAGAAACAAGACTTTCTTCACTGGTGGTGATTCAATCTTTAGACCACTTTTGGAGGACAATTTGCAATATCTGTCAAAATTTAATATGCTCATGTTCTTTGACTCAGCCATTTTTGCAGTCTGTTCAACAGAAATATTCATACAGATTCTCAAAGGTGTACTTACTAGGATGTTTTTAGAAACATTTATTTAGAAGTGTTGTTGGTAATAGCAAAAAAGTGAAATCAACCTATGTTTTCATCAATCCAGGAGTAGTTACATTAAATGATGATACCTCCATACAATGAAACCCTATGCAGCCGTTGAAAAGAATGAGGGGGGCTAGATGTACTGACATAGCATGATTTCTAGGACTAAAGTGGAAAAAAGTTATGGAACGGTTCATAGAGTATGATCCTATTTGTGATCAAATAAATGAGCATAAAACTGTGTCAGAATAGGTGCATGCGTGTATGTATATAAATACATAGAAACAGGTGTGAGAGGATTCCCACCAAGCTGTTAACTGTCTGAGTGGGACTGGAAACAGTAGGTCAGTATAGGTGGTCTTTCATTTTTTTTATTCTATTTTTTACTTATTTCTATTTTATTTATTGTTTTGTTTTGTTTTTTGCTGAGGAAGATTCGCCCTGAGCTAACATCTACTGCCAATCTTCCTCTTTTTGTATGTGAGCTGCTGCCACAGCATGGCCACTAACAGATCAGTGGTGTAGGTCCATGCCTGGGAACCAAACCCAGGCCACTGAAGCCACTAGGCCATTGGGGCTGGCCTATCATTTTTTAAATTCTAAATATAGTTGAACATCATTAACCCAGAATATCCAGTATCTGACCTAATCAAGATAAGCAGTATTTCTGGGATCCAAATATCTTAATTGTTTTTAAAAAACCAATAATAAAAAAAAATAAATGAAAAATGTGTTAAACATTTGTTACCATAAATGAAACAAATTCATTTGACTTACTAATTTTTCATAGAAAAATCAGAATTTGCAACATATACCTATTTCCTTTAAAAGGGCAGAAAAGCAGCTGGCAATGATAAAAATGAAACTAGGAAGTTTTTTTCTTTTTTTTATTAATGTTATGATAGATTACAACCTTGTGAGATTTCAGTTGTACATTTTTGTTAGTCATGTTGTGGGTACACCACTTCCCCCTCTGTGCCCTCCCCCCACCCCCCCTTTTCCCTGGTAACCAGCGATCAGATCTCCTTGTCAATATACTAACTTCCACCTATGAGTGGAGTCATATAGAGTTCATCTTTCTCTGATTGGCTTATTTCGCTTAACATAATACCCTCGAGGTCCATCCACGTTGTTGTGAATGGGCCAATTTTGTCTTTTTTTATGGCTGAGTAGTATTCCATTGTGTATATATACCACATCTTCTTTATCCAATCATCAGTTTCTGGGCATGTAGGCTGGTTCCACGTCTTGGCTATTGTAAATAATGCTGCGATGAACATAGGGGTGCAACGGACTCTTGAGATTTCTGATTTCAGGTTCTTAGGATAGATACCCAGTAAATGGGATGGGTGGGGTCATAGGGGTATTTCTATTTTTAACTTTTTGGAGAAATCTCCATACTGTTTTCCATAGTGGCTGTACCCAGTTTGCATTCCCACCAAACAGTGTATGAAGAGTCCCTCTTTCTCCACCAACCTCTTCCAACATTTGTCATTCTTTGGTTTTGGGATGTTTTGCCAATCTAACGGGGGGTAAGGGTGATATCTTAGTGTAGTTTTGATTTTGCATTTCCCTGATGATTAGCGATGATGAACATCTTTTCATGTGTCTATTGGCCATATTCATATCTTCTTTTGAGAAATGTCTGTTCATGTCCTCTGCCCATTTTTTGATCGGGTTGTTTGTTTTTTTGTTGTTAAGCAGTGTGAGTTCTTTGTATATTATGGAGATTAACCCTTTGTCAGATAAGTGGCTTGTAAATATTTTTTCCCAATTAGTGAGCTGTTTTTTTGTTTCAATTCTGTTTTCCCTTTCCTTGAAGAAGCTCTTTAGTCTGATGAAGTCCCATTTGTTTATTCTTTCTATTGTTTCCCTCAACTGAGGAGTTACAGTGTCCGAAAAGATTCTTTTGAAACTGATGTCAAAGAGTGTACTGCCTATATTCTCTTCCAAAAGACTTATTGTCTCAGGCCTAATCTTTAGGTCTTTGATCCATTTTGAGTTTATTTTGGTGTGTGGTGAAAAAGAATGGTCAATTTTCACTCTTTTGCATGTGGCTGTCCAGTTTTCCCAGCACCATTTGTTGAAGAGACTTTCTTTTCTCCATTGTAGGCCCTCTGCTCCTTTGTCGAAGATTAGCTGTCCATAGATGTGTGGTTTTATCTCTGGGCTTTCAATTCTGTTCCATTGATCTGTGGACCTGTATTGGTACCAGTACCATGCTGTTTTGATCACTGTAGCTTTGTAGTATGTTTTG